GGAAATGCGCGTTTCAGACGTTCACTTTGTTCCAGAATGTTGTAATGTCGTTTAAGGAATTTGTTTACGTTGGGGAAGTTTGTGCTGTAAGTCAAGCAGAGGTTTGTTCGTTGTGGGTCTTCTTGCGGTGGTCGCTTCATAAGTAAGTCTTCACGCTTTAGTTTTCTCGCTTTTTGAACACCGTCATTAATTACATGTGGAGGGTATTTTTGTTTCTCGAGCATAAGTTCTAGCCTGTGTGAGCTCGTGTCAAAGTCCGCGTCTCTATAGCAGATTCGCTTAAACCGGTGAGCCTGGCTGTATGGAATACTGTTTTTACAGTGGCGTGAGTGATCGCTTTGGTAACGGAGGTATTGTTGTCGATCCATTGGTTTGCGATATAGGGTTGTAGAGAGCTTCTCTTCTTCTATCATTATGGTAACATCAAGAAAATTTACGGTTACTTGCGAGTATGTGTGTGTGAAGTGTATGTTCGGATGTACAGCATTGTAAGTGTCAGTAAAGCTGAGAAGTTCGTCCTCGCTGTGGGTCCAAATAAGAAAGATGTCGTCTATGTATTTTCTGTGTAACATTGGTTTCAAGGAACTTTGTGCAAGAAATTCAGATTCTAGCTTTCCCATAAATATGTTGACATAATTAGGTGCCACTTTGGTGCCCATAGTGGTCCCCCTTATTTGTCGAAAATACTCTTGGTTAAACTCGAATGAATTTAATTCGAGGACCATCCTCGTCTAAGTTGCCATGGCAAAGAAATCTGAGGTGTTAGATTGTCTATGGTTTGTGTACATGTTTCGTAATGCAGCTATGCCGTCATCGTGAGGAATATTTGTATACAATGAGGAGACATCAAGAGTAACCAAGTACGAGTTTTTCGGCACACACAGACCTCCAATGTCTCGAAGAAAGTGTGTGGTGTCTTTTTTGTACGACGCGAGGGTGCATGGAATGTGGCTTATTAGTTTGTCCACGTACCCTGATATGGGTTCAGTTATTGTACCGATGCCTGATATGATTGATCGACCTGGGTTACCGGGTTTATGAATTTTTGGGAGGATGTAGAAGCGACCAGGACGAGGGTATGCTGCTCGCATCAGTTTGTAGTCAGTGTTGGTTATCTTTTCTGCATCCAACAGTTTCTTTAGTTCTGTTGATACGATACGTTTGTATTTGTCTGTCGGATTACCTGGGAGGCGTTCGTAAAATCTTGAGTCGTCTAGTTGGCGGTATGCTTCTTGTAAGTAGTTGGTTGTATTAAGGACTACAATTGCTCCTCCTTTGTCAGCGGGTTTTATTGCTATGTCTGTCCTAGATGCCAAATTTCTCATAATTAATTTCTCAGATTTTGTCACGTTTTCTCGGTTTCCTTTCTGTCTGTGGTATTCGTGTACTATATCTTTCTGTGCTTCGTTGATATAAAGGTCCAAGCACTTGTCTCGATTACTGTTCGGTGACCAATCATTTGATTTACGACGGTGAATTGTTTTGTGGTTAGAAGGCCTGTTCAAGAAATATTCGCGCAACCTTAAGCTTCGAGCAAAGTTGTCGAGGTCTCGGAGCAAGTGGAATTCATCGAAAAATTTTGTGGTCGGGCAGAAGCTTAGTCCCTTAGATAGCAGTTTTTCTTCGTCAGGTGACAAGCTCGTGTCCGATAAGTTTACAACCACAGTGTCACAAGGTGTGTTCCTAGACGGGTGCTCGTTTGTACCGTTAATGGTTTACTGGGTGGTGGTGTTGTAGTGATAAGGAACTATATCAGGGAATGCGGGTTTGGGCACATGGTCTCTTTTGAGTTTATGAATTTTTGTGGTGATGATGGCTTGGTATTTATTCTGTTCAAATTCTGTTCATGGGGTGATTTCTTCATTCGATAAAGTGTTGTGGCGGAGAATGGTGTTGGTCATAGCAACCAGTTTCTTTACCTGCTTATCACTGTGAATAAGAGCGATTTCTGTTAATTTAAGAGATGCCTCAAGGAGGACATTTCTTCATGTTATTTGGTCGTGTTCATCTAGATTTGTAGCGGCTGGTGTGAGGGAGAGTGTCATACCCTTGGAGGCTATTCTAGCACGAAGGTACACTTGCAATGTTGATTTATGCATTTCATGTCTAATTCATTTGTGAGCAAGTTTTCGTGCTTTAAGGAAAGTGGCACTGCAACTGGGAAGCGATGAGCTGGACTAACATTTCAGAAGTCAATCTTCTTTTGAGTGCGGGGATGGCACTGATGAGGTGCGCAGGTTGTAGTATATGTAGTATATGTAGGACACAGTTTGTGCCAAATTAACCCACACACACACACACACACACACACATATATATATATATATATATATATATATATATATATATATATATATATATATATATATATATATATATATATATATATATATATATATATATATATATATATATATATCCTTCATATACTGTCCTACATATACGTGTCCTATATATACTCTAATTTTTGTATTACTGAAGTGCTGCCGGTTATAAAACTGTCGTTCTAGATATTTTCAAATGTTAACCTAGTGCTTTATCATACATTTCTGTTTAATTTCTGTTTGCCTTTAGCGTCTCTTACAAATCCACATTGTTCAAAAATACGGTCTAGAAAATGACCCTTGATTGAAGGTTCTTGTGATAGGACCTTCTACAATGGCTTCTGCTAAAGACGTAACTAATTAGGGCAAAAAAGGGACAAGATAAAAGCAACAGAAAGGACAGAGTGCTAAACGTCAACTCAATGTTTCAGCGCAGCAGTATGAGCTGCGCAGGGAGGTTATCTTCACCTTGCCTGTTGCTGTTTTTTTGCGCTAATTAGTGATGTCTGTGGTTCTTACGTACCAACTAGCCCAACTCGCTTCTCTAATACAGCTTTTCTTGCGTCAGATAACCCCGGATGTCTTACATGAGCTTCTAAGTATCTTCGACATGGGACTGAGCACCAGAAATTTGGTGTGGGAACGTGCATGGTTGTGGCTATGGCTATTTTGCGAAGTGCAGGTGTTATTTGTTGCCAGTCTGTACGGTGATCTAGCAATGGTTTGCCGCTACACATGGAACAGCGGTAGCTCTACATAGTCTGAAGTGTACAGCTACAGCTATATACATGTTTGCTTTATATCAGTCTGTCATAGCGTCCTATTGACAGAATGCTCCCTACATGAAGGTGATTGTGGGGGATGGCACTTCGCCCTGTTTCCGGAATGTCGCCATAGGTCTGATTCATTACCATAGGCTTGTATTATGAATAAAAGTGAAAAGAAGGAGCAGGGACACAGAACTGTGCATGATACAAAAATTGACAACGAAGTATGTTGGGATACAATGCACAAATAAACAAGCAAGAACCATCAAAAATTATGACAGTCAGGAATGACGAATTCAGTTTTAAAAAGAATATGAACATTTTCTAGTTTATCAATGAACACACATGTAAATAAAACTAAAAATGTAAAGTGCCTGAGATTGTCTAATTCTTTCAAAGATTGAGCTGAATTCCTGGAGGCAAAACACACAAAACAGGTATTCGCACTGACTGAAGGGGTGCTTTCGCATCGACAGTCCTGAAAATTTGTTATGAAATGCAAGGACACTTTCATCCAGCAATACACCTAGAAGGTATTTATATTTCAGACGAGCTCACATTGAAATTGGGTGGGAGTGTTCACTTGTAATGAGTCGAGGTAACCAAGAGACACTTGTGTTTTTGGTGAAAAACAAGCAGAGAGCGAATAGTAGAACAACAGCCGTTTACAGCTGTACGTAAGGTTTCTATGGAAAATAGCGTTGTTAAACATAGAAAAAGATCGAAAAACAATAGCAGTCATACTGAACTGAGACTTGTATAAAAGTCTACTCATCTTCATTAAGTTTAGCGTGCCTAGTGAGCGAAGAACTGAATATTCTTCTTGCTGTAAATCACGCGTGACGTTGCCTACCCACGTATCAAAATTAGTCACAACACGTGTGTACAGTATATACCTTCTTCTCCTGTCATCGACCTGCCACTTCCCGCACCCTCAACTCCGGGCTAGCAGCTTGTCGGCGCCGTTGTGCCGCTGCTCAGAGGGCTCTCGCAACCGCGGTGTAGCTTGCTGCCTGCGTGGATGTTGAGCCGCCGCACGTCACGCTCTCGCATCAGCTTGTCGGGTTTGCCATGCTACCTTTCGTGGGCGAGAGTGCTCTCACGACCGTTTTCATCCATAGGCGAAAGTATGGTTTGGGGTCTGACACGTGTTTGGTCTCCATCGTCAATTGTGTCATCGTCATCGTAATGACGAATAGTCGGTACCTTGCATGTGTTGCGCCGTTTTGTTAGAAAGGAAATGTGCGGTCAAGAACGCGCTCATTCTTTATTGTCGTCAGTGTCATTGCAATGACGTATATCAGTACCTTGCATGTTCTATGTCTTGATGGCAGCGTCATCATCATCAGGTACGTTGTATCTGCTATCGCACTTATTATTGATCGTCATCTTCATGGCGTATAGTGGGTACCTTGCAGGTGCTGTGCCGAACAACGAAATAAGCACAACCAACAAGCCAACACAGTATTGTCCTTTGCCCCTAATAAAAGCATGATCAAGACATATAAGAAACGCTAATGTGTCATTACCTTATTGAAATGTTGCGATAATATCAAAAATCGCCGTCATCAACGTCTACGCCGAATATGCTGCCACAACATTGACTGCGTATCTGACTGATGTAGAAACATGGGGAGAACATTTTCGCAAATAGGGCAGTGCTTCGGGCTATAAAAAGAATACACAAGACGAATGAGGACAGCATACGGTAAAGGCGAAAATACTTTATAGACGTGGTGGTGGTACGCATGTGAGCAGTATTAACTTCAGACAAAAATCGTTCTCTCCTTGCATGATATTGGTCTTTTTTTTTCAAACATATAATTGTAAATGGTTTGGATTCATGTCATGATACTTGAAAACCAAAATAGTGGATCGTGAAAATTTTATTAGTAAAGAGCGGCAATCATTAACGAAACGCAATTTGAGTTTATTATTGCTTTCAAGTTACGTAGGCAGCAGGGCGTTAAATTAACAGTCACACCTCTTGGCATGGAAATTGATTCAATACCTTGACACACTAGTCTGATTGTGCACAGAGTGGCTTTCATCAATCTTGTCATCTCACAGCGATCACACTGAGTGCTCAATAAATGTCCATTATCCACATTCTCTTAAGAAAATAAATCATACTTGCGGTAATTTTCTATTTTCGAGTAGTTATCAGTCAACACCTCTTGGTAATTTTCTATAATAACGTCTCGCCTTGTTCTCCACTAAATTAAAACTCTCAGCGGCAATCACTAGCAATGGGAGAGATGGTAAATGAACACCTTGAAAAATTCCGGTAATAGGGGCCTTCCCTCCCGTACCATTACAACTAAGCTTTCAGGTGTCAGTACTCCCTGAACGGGGGGGGGGGTGAAAGTTTTTCAATATGTTTTATCACATAAATTGCTGGACGAACGGTTTGAATCCAAACACAATTTGCTGTATGGCTGTTCGGTTCAACAGCCGCAATCGACAGGCGCCCAACAAGTATGACGGCCAAAGGATCTGGCAGCACGGGAGATGCGTGATATCAAATCGGTTGTGTCACCCGTGTCCCTCGTTCATTTGTCGACACTCCAACGAGCGCTGTCACCCTGACAATTGCCAATATCACCATTGACAGTGGCGTGAAAAATAGCCTGCGCAGAACGTGCTGCACAATCACAGCGAAAGTAAAAGAGCGGCCTTTCTAGAGTATTTTTTAGACTGTTGAGGAAGCTACTACGCGTAACTTGCATGGTAATCACTACAGTACAAATCATCAAAATTTTCATAAAGTAGGAAAACGTACACTATTCTATTAAAATTTGTCATTCTTCGCGGAAGCGTGTTGCCCACTGCACACCTGCAAGGTATTATGTGCATTTGTTTATGCTACAATTGACGGCAATCAAAATTATATCTGCGCCTCTTGTTATGGTATAAAAGGATTCAACAACCCACTACTTGCACAATTCGCATTTTGGCCATTGCTGTCCTGAAAGACTCTAATACACGGTTAACTAGATTCCTTAATCAAAATGAAGTGTACATTCAGTCCGTTTGCAACAGAGTTTCAAGTATTGCTTTGTAGTATGATACTGGGAGGCCACTCACATGTGCTCGGGTTAAAAGCCTATTGTATTCAGCGTTAATACAGTTTTTTTTTTTTTTTTGCAGCAAAAACTTTTAAGTAATCACAAGAAAAGCTAACTTTGTCACAGTACACGTGCGCCGTCTACGCTGTCTTTACCTATTATAACGCTATTCTTCATCTGATCCGACGTCGAACGTCCCACATTCAACGGTACTGCGCTGTTACAACAGCAAACGCACGAATACCTGAAAAAGAGAAAAACTCTGAACGTCAGAAACAAGCTTGGGTGTTCCGATTTTGTGACATTTATGTGTGTTGTGTGGTATTTCAAACATATAATTTCAGAAGCCTCCTTTAAACGTATTTCATTTCACATACTGGCACAGCGTTCACGGTGAAGGTTTTAAAAAAACGGCTAGCTTTGCAGTGGGCTTAATGTGCTGTAGTTGCCAGCTATTGTATGCGATGCCCAATCAGCTTCTTGAAACATGCCGAAGATCGGGTCACCAAGAACGCAAGTGAGGATGACCGTGACCGCCATGGTGATGGTTTTAACCAGGAATCCCGGTATGACCTGCGAGGTAAACAGGGTGACATATCTCTTATAGATAAAGTTCTTCCCACATTCTCATTCTACCTAGAGGCAAAGCCATGCGCCGCGCTGTTTTCACCTGTACCGTAAATTATTCTTCAAGCGAAAATCTGGATTCCGTAAAGGCCCACTCTGCATGCCTCATCTCTCAAGGCACGCCACCCAGCAAAACAAATACCCGTGCCTAATGCCAATGAATCAATCGCAATGTGAATAATATCCAGGGAAATGATCCGAGAAGAGAACTAATAACACAAAGGAGTTGGCCAGAGTATAGACAAACTGGTTGCTCAGTTCTGCGTCAAAAATTAAAGCGAAGTGTTTGAGCACATTTTGATGTAGATAATAGAATTTTCGTAAACCACGGCCACGCAAAAAAGTTCCTGAAATTGTCCCTAAACAAAGTTATTGTAACGCAGCCTAGTCGCGAAAACTCACATCACTATGAAGTCGATTCACATAGTGACACGACAAACAAAAAAAAAACACTTGCCGCACAACAGAAATATTTTACCGAGTATGTTGAGAATAACGCTATTCCATACGTCCGGTCCTATAACAGCACTTAAATAGGCGAAGTTCAGCCAAAAGTTGACGGAATAGGTTTGCTCAAGAACGACTCATATTGCGACGCGGTAACAACAATTTATGTACAAAATTTGTCTGAAATTTCATTTTTATAATTTAAAAGAATATCAGTTGTTTTTAGAAGTTACTTTAAACCAATATACTCACTTTTCGGATAGATATATTTCAGCAACAGACCAAGCTTTTCCAAATAACAAAGTATACCCACAATACAGTGCCCCTAAATTTTAAGATGTCTCCAGAATAAATGTCAAAGTGATTTGCAAATCAAGCGAAATAGGCTTGATGATTTTGAATGTTCATTACACCGTGTGGCCCAGCAACTATGAGCAGACATCTTTGAAGTACGAGAATATGTGCCGTGGTTGTGGTAAAACACACCTGATTATCTATGAAGTGAAATGGGAAAAGGGGAACGGTGAATTGACAAAGAGTGGGTAGGCACCAGACAGCTCCCTATTCCAGGACTCTGGTCATTCTGACAAGGCCCTCCACCTCATCCTCAAGAGAGCGTCCCTTTACACCGTTCCAAGGCTTCGCCAGAGTAGGACCAGCGGCGTGTAGTGGAATGAGCCTACTTTTTGTGGTGCACATTCATATTAGGTGCTTAAGACCTTGCGAGCGGGGCTTATCCAAATCTTCTGTCGTCACGGCGTGTCGTATAGTCATCGTGGACCGTGAAGACTGTTATCCCCCTAGAAAAACTGAATATATCCCAGTACTCACGACCGGGCCCCCCAAAACAGGGAAGGTGACAGTTAGCCGAAAAAATAACTGACGGCTTTAGTGGAGCTAAAACAGCTATCTCTACATGGCATTGGGAACTGTAACCGGGCGTGTAAGGGAAGAAGTACCTCAAGATAAACTGCATTCTGACTCAGTTTTCCGAGCACATAAGCGGAGCGGGAACTGCCTTCCGTACATGCCCGGTTTCAGGCTTGACCTCACTACTGCCTCATCAAAAAAAGCACTCTAAAAAGACGGCACGCTTCGAGCCTTACGAAGTTTTGTATTAGTGAAGCTGAAACGCCCGTCTCTACATACCTGATCTGTCGAAAGTTGTTTCGTGAGAGAACGTGACTAAATTACACAACATTATTACAGGAGACGCCGACAAGCCCAAACTTAAGCACATTTCGCACCTAAAAAATTGCGATGAAGCCGAACGCAGGCCCAAATAGTATTCAATGTGGGTCACTTTATTCGTGTGTCCTCATCAGACGCAGCTATTCATTCAAAGCTTTCTGGTCTAGGAGCACATGTCAGCAGAAATTGTGAAGCTAACTCCGACTAACTCGTAAAATATAATTTGCGCTAAGGGCTCACTAAGACTCCGACTCAGCAAAAATTTCCTGTCCTCAGCCAGACTAAGTCATACTCTCATTCACGAAAAGTTTCGGCAACCGGAGTCACTCGAGCTTAATCTCCCCAACGAAGGTACGTTTAGCTTGTACATATACTTTTTAACGTTTCCGGAATACCAGATTTCATTAACCGTGTTACCAAAACACGTATTCTCAGATTTTTAGGTCACCCCACCGCGGTAGTCTAGTGGCTAAGGTACTCGGCTGCTGAACCGCAGGTCTTGCGATTGAGTCCAGGCTACAGTGGCTGAATTTTTGATCGAGGTGATAATGCTGTATACCTGTGTGCTCAGATGTGGGTGCACGTAAAAGAACTTCAGGTGGTCGATATTTCCGGAACCCTACGGTGTCTCTCATAATTGTATGGTGGTTTTGGAGCGTCAAATTTCCCATATTATCAAACATTTAAGCCCTGATAAGTAAAAGTTGGCGTACGTACGTAAACGCATACATTTACGTTTGCTCGAACCATAAAAGGTGATGATGATTGCATTCAAACTATACTTAACCTAAATAAGATTTAATCATTACAACGGCAATCTCACGAGAGGTTATTTACCGTGTACGGTACCTTCGTATGCGCAAAAGGGTGAAAAAAATAAAAAGTTACTGCAACAATAGTGCCACCATTCTGTGACACTTCATGTAACCACAGTCCTAAGCTTTGTTGGTTTACGTCTAATGTTTTTAGGTCGAAAATCATGAAAATGGTAATTTATTCGCCCTGATTCCACTGCGAGGCCTTTACACCAAGTGCAGAAATCACGATGTTTCTGCAGAAACAATTTTGTGATTGCCTGTTCATCTTGGCCTCGCTAGATGGCGCCACCTGTCCAGCTTATCGCGAGCTTACATTTTTTCTGTTTTGGTGTTCTAGGAACTGAAGCTTCGGTAATTAGCCTGAAACATTGTGATCGCTCTTGGCGCTCCCACTTCGGCTTATTTTGACTCGACGGCTTGAGTCATTGCAATGCGGGTATAGCGAGCGCCCACGAACGAAGGTAGATATGCGAGATGAGATTGCAATAGTAAAACCTGACAGGCGAGTACTTTACGTTCCGTAATTGCCTACGTTCGCCAAGGTCCAATGCATGCGCAGATTTCTTACGGTATTGAGTACAACGGTAACGTAAATAAGTATATGTACAAGGTAAGAGCCCCTAATATTATTCATCAGGACTCACTCAGACTCACGACTGCAGCTGAGTCTAAGTGAGTCCGAGTGAGTCGACTCATGAATCAATTAGCCCAGAATTTCTTGTTCGAATATGGTATCAACGCACTTGAACACCAATATATCGTGTAACATGTATTATTAAATCCTTTGGCCCTATAGTACCTTCTGCAGTGTCTGTAACCCACTAAGTAGTACTATATAGTGCCGTCTAGTGTCTGCAACCCATTAAAAGCATTTTTTCTTGAAAGATATCGCAACGTAAATTATATTTATCAAGATCGTTCTTAGAGAAGTCGCTGGGAGGGGGTGACTCAAGGCTTTTTTTACGTTATTCAAGCCTGATCATGATGTTGAAGTGGTGTGTGAAAGATACTGTCTTGGGATGCAAGTGAATAGACTGAGGTATACACCTGAATGATGGCAAGGCTATCACTGAAGATAAGTAGATAAAAGGAGTGGTACGCAATAGTGTAAAAGAATTCCTGTTTCCCATAAGCGACGATTATACACTGTGCGTGGCATAGCGCAGATTTCTTTCTGGGCTCATTGTTGGGTAGCGCAGTTATTCATGCTGAAATTGTAGCTCACAGTCCTGTGGGTTATCCCGTTGCGTAATGAAATGGCATTTGTGAAGCCATTTCGTCAATCTAGGAAAGTGAGTATCCTATAAGCTCACTAGATTCTCTGCAAATATGACACTTGGGGGGTATTTTCGGAGGTCAATGATAAAACATTCTGTCGAGCTACATTGTGTAAATGTATAGCTTCGAACGCTAGTCTGAAAACCATTGTAAAAGTGCTCCTCTTCACAGCCACAATGTTACGCATTTGCAATCGTGAGCACTCCGGGCCAACCCCTCGACATGGCCATTGCTACAGAACCCAGAACAGCCCGCTATGGTGTAATGCGCTAGTTTTCATTCGATGTCCAAGCATTTCTCCGAAATGCCTGTCCTCGTCGTTGTATTGGGAATCACCTCCGTAATGTAGCGTGAAATACTTTCGAGTTAAAAGAATCATGAAACATTCAGTTTTCACCACAAATGTAGAGCATTGAACGCGATAGCAACAAACTTAACATTATACAAATTGGGGATGGCAGCTAACTCCATTGGATCTGGCAACACTCAACTTCACTAAATGCAGTTTTAAAACAGTACGGCTGCTCCAGAGAAACTGTTCGCTCAATCTCTTAGCGTAGAGAGCGCAGAACGTCGAAGGGCATACGAGCCGCCCGGTGATAGTTGCCCTGATAACAAGATAACGCGAGCTTGCGCGGGTGACGACTACACTCGCAAAACAAAGATCGGACTTGCTGCTCGAGAAACCCTGCACCCACCCTCGCGTTTTGTCAAGATCGTTAAAGACATGTGGGGATTTTTCCCTCAGATTGCGCATTCGACCGCTGGTCTAACAAGCGGTGAGATCTTATCACTTGTGCATCAGGGCGGCGATGGGCTGGTTCGTTTGATCGGCGCTTACGCCGCGTTGGTCACCCCCGCTCGCGCTATTTCAAGCGTACAGAATGTATGATGCACAGGTGTATTTTATCGATTTGAACTTTATACGTGACATGATGGTGACGGCTACGGCTAAAACCCGTCGAGATTGTACATAAAAATGTTATTGCAATAAAGCAAAATCATGTACATGTTTATCTAGTAAATAGACATGAGGGCTACTTCACTGATCGCAAAAATCCAACGCCCTAGCTCTGCTGCTAATGGTGAGCTTCACTGGTGTTCAGTCTCAATTACGTAGTGTCTTGCCAAACAATGGTGCAAAAAAGGAGTAGTGCATGTGCTGATTGCATTGCATTTCACATCACTCAAGTTGTACACTCGTTACCATGCGAGCCCTCTATAAGCTACAGTATAGTAATTCTCTCGTACGTTAACACAATAGCTAAGTGTGGACCTAATGTGTTCTTATTTAGAAAGCTGCTGTGTATAGCTTCTGGAAGTTACAAGAGGCAGTTATTGCCAGAAGGAAATGCACGTAGCATGGTATACGTACCATTTGCATCAAAGTGAGCCGACCCTGTTCGTATACCATGGCATTTGCCGGCGTTCCTACAGGCAGTAAGAAGGCGTAGTTGCTGGCGATCGTCGCCGGAATTAGGAATAGTAGCGGGTTCACATGAAGATCCTTGGCCTTGCACAAAAGCAAAAAAAAAGATAGTGCCACAGAGTGTGTCTTCGGAAAACACGCGACCAGTTTCAAAAAGATGCTATTTCGGTACTTCAATTGCCTTTCTAAACATCGTGTCTTTTTTTTTTCAGCCCCGCGGTCAGTTACTAGAACAACTCCAGCCTGAGTTAGATCATGAATAGTGTAGTGAAAGCGCACGAGTAACTCAGCTTTTGATAAATGAACATATATAAAAATGAAATGACTTAACTTTTACCACTCGCATAACCCACACGTTTGTCTGCCTGATTGACATGGGGCGCTACTACACATAAGCATGCACCGAGAACGATTGTCTTTTCTCTTTTGCCATAGAGTGCCCTTTCAGTTAGTAGTCCGCGTGTGTGTTGCCTCATAATTTGCCTTTTATATGCACTCCTAACTCTCCAGCATGATTCATAAATAGGCGGTATTTGCATAAGAAAGACACAAAAAGTTAAAGTAATCGGTCAAATATTTGTGCAGTTGCAAAAGAAGATTCACGCAAAACAGTGTGGGACAACAGCGTTTTCAGCTAGTACCTGGTCCACTACAAGACAGCATTCTATGTTAGTCATGAGTCACGTATACAGTTCAATAATAACAAGTATATTGACAAAACGTACATTTGCAAACAACAGCACAAAGAAATTAACGAGGTTACTTGATTATGAGAAGTTGCACAATCATCACACGCTGCTTATGATACACAATTCTGCTGTTATAACGAGTCAAGTTTCGGCTCTCCGACGGGCCCAGGAAGCCTCTAAGAATAAAAAGCATTGTAGCCATCACCCAGGCGGTACATTTCACCCGTCCCACTAACTTGCAGAACAATTCAATAAAGTTCTGTGTATGTATACCGAGTCAAATTTATAATACCATGGAGTGGCATGGTGTAAAGGAACTGTGACCATCTGGGTTCTTTAACGTACACCCAAGTCCCAGTACGTAAGCATTCTTTCTCTCTTTTTTTTTCTTTACCCTGGTCAAATTGCATTAACAGTGGCTTTGATGGAACTCGTGAGCTCCAGCTCAGCCTTGTGATGCCATGGCATGTGTGTTCTAGTGATGAATATCACATACTGTCAGAATCTGAATTTTTACAGAGAGAAAGGTGCACATGGTTGTGGTATTATCTTCTTTCACAAACATGAGCGTTGCGTATCTGTAAATTACGAATGTCTACTTTATTTGGCATCGCATTCAGATACTTTTCGCTTATATCTGATGCACGCGTAACAGCGTGACGAAGCATTACTAAAGAGAAAATACTAAGTGACAATAGTGAAATATAAAAGTGCATGCTTGAGTAATCAGAATAAATGTTTCAAGCACGAACAGCCCGTAAAAGTGAAAGATCAATATCAAAATAATGTGGTAGCAAATACTGCTCAGTAAGGCACTTTTCTCGTGGTTTATTTTTGTGTGTGTGTGAGTGTGTGTGTTTGTGCGTGCGTGTGTGTGAGAGAGAAAGGGTGAGAGATACAACCACGAAGAGAACCACTGGGAAAGTTTCTGCTCACCAATTCATCAAAAACTGGCAGCAGAACAGTGCACGTTGCTGAGTTTGATACTAGTTCAGACATGAAAGAAGAGACGATGCTCAAGCAGATCATCAGTGGAATTGGAGGCATGTGGCCCAACGTGGCGAGCTTTTGGCCCATGAGTTCCGACAGGCCAGAAACCTGGTCAGGCACACGAAAAAATAAAACAGAGAATTCCTTTCAAAATTTCTTACTTCTGAAGACTACGTCAGTTAGTTTGTCACCTGAAGTGTCCTAATTATGAAAATCAAATGAAAAATACAAGATATGCCATAAATTTACCACCTGTAGCTTGTTTTAAAGTTATTGAAAGCAGCAAATTTTATAACAATGCGTTCAACATACACCCCGTTCTTATAAAAAACGCTCGATATCATTACACTTAAATATCCACTCCTCGTCCTAATTAAGCTACCCAGGCTTGCTCAATCTCGATGTTACACTTAAATATCCACTCCTCGTCCTAATTAAGCTACCCAGGCTTGCTCAATCTCGATGTCTCGATGCACCACTGGAAGACATTTGACATTTTGTACATTTTGAGTTGCCGTGTTTCGAAGAAAATGATACTTGAAGATATCAAAACTTCCATTTATTCCTCTACGTTGTTCTCTCTGCAGCCCTGAAGATGTGCTTGTAGTTAAGATGGGAAGCTCTCCCCATCTTTCCCAAGCCACATATCACCATCATCGCCTGTGAAGTTTGTATTTATCAGAATGACGGAGCTTTACGACCAGATTGGACAACCATTAATACTTCGTGCATATGAACACGTTATACGACACTTCAAGTGTTCCTTGCAGCAAAGACCCTAATGCTCATTTATTCTCCACTTACCCGCCAAGTATCTTTTTTCGTCTGGATCGTTTAGGCTGTTACTTTTTAAATGATATCACTGTGTCGGTAACACTGCCTCATCATTATTTCGGATCCATCATTACCTTTTCATTGGCAAATCCAGTATTACTGTGTCACCGTTTTTAGCATTTGTGCAAGATGCTAGTAGCTCAGCTAACGCTAGACAACCAGCTATTTGTTGTGGCCTTTAATATTTTTTATTTACCATGAAACTGCAGAACAAATTCCTCTCGAAAATCCTCGTATCACATACATGCCTTGTATACAATTCATTTGTATGAACATATTTTCATCATAGGTGTTCTCGTATGATAATACAAGATCTTGTATATGTTGGATGCGTGGCATATGTCAATTTTAATATGATCGAGGAATGTCTTACGGTAGAAAAATACCAATAATTGAACTTAGTAGAGCTATTTAATGGACAATCTGCAAATTAAAGTTGAGGTTTTTTTTCTTTGTAAGCGTGGGAAGGCTATCTCGAAAACATCATGTATGCGATAATTGTGCAAAAAGAATCAACATTTAGTCTTCAGAGCATACTCTAACCTTCATAGGGTATGCGCGCAACACCTGAGCTTACCATTCATGTTGCGAAAAGGGCAAGTGACTATGAACACAACTCTTTAATCAGCTATGCGCATGCACCTACGCGCATGCAAATTAGGAGATGGGCGAAATGGCACTCCTTGATTGAAGTTTGACGTCTAATCAATGAAGTTTTTGAACGATAATTTTGGGCTCGTACGTACCAAAATCATTGATTTCGTATGATGATCACCGTAATAGAAAACTCACGGCTGAATGAACCGTGTTGGATTCCGGTTCATTAGGAATTTGGCTTTGATAGATAGATAGATAGATAGATAGATAGATAGATAGATAGATAGATAGATAGATAGATAGATAGATAGATAGATAGATAGATAGATAGATAGATAGATAGATAGATAGATAGATAGATAGATAGATAGATAGATAGATAGATAGATAGATAGATAGATAGATAGATAGATAGATAGATAGATAGATAGATAGATAGATAGATAGATAGATAGATAGATAGATAGATAGATAGATAGAGACAGACAGACAGACAGACAGACTTGGGTGTTCCTCAAATTTGCTATTTTTTGCTGCATTCTGACCCTCATGCCTTCGGCGATGGCAAACCCGCTGCCAATCAGTAGGATGACGCTCCACGGCAGTTTAGCTTGAACCATTTCCCAAGAAAGCAGAGAAGGACTGCCGGCGCCCTCCCATGGTTTGGAAGGGATCATGAACAGCAGGATCACCGGTATGGTGACGGCTGTAGCATCCTTTGGCTTTCTGCAATTTGAGAGGAAAGCAATCAACAAAAGTTAAACACAAACTAAAGTGAGACACGCACAGAATAATAACAAGGAATGACGGTCTTCTCGTAGACAAGGTTGCCACATCCACCACTCAAAAAGTTCGTTGTCACAGGCGTTTTTCTATAAAGTTTGTCTATAAAACAGCACTGCACACTGGCACATAGTGCTTGAGCTCACTCATGTCATCCTTTAAGAAATTGACGTGCTTGTTACTAGAGTCCCACATTTTCATTGACGATTTCAGCAGCTTTAAGCTAAGTAACAAATAAAAACACCTAATTAGTAAACTTGTTAACTTTAATCGGGAATGAGAGATCTTTCGCTAAGTTGTTTTATAATATATTGGCAAATAAAGAAATACGCGGAGTAGTTACTATAATCTAGGGCGGCAGTGAGTATGAAAATGAGAACATGGCAGCGAAGTCAAGACGCTTTATATCCTCCCCTCACTATATCTTTGGGCAGTCATATTGAATAATTTATGCCGCCCGTGTGCCTGGAAATCAGTTTCATGGCAGGTTGTCCCGAAACCACAAGTGTGACCATACCACATGATAGACAAGATTAGACCGAAGCGCCCACAGCTTTGATTTCTATATAGCCTTCCATAGATTAGTAATGTGCGCATCAATTGATATTCAAACAGCTTTTCGTATATCTAAGTTACGTGCGCCTCGTTTTAGTTTACATGTCCATTCCTATTCAGCATGCATGACTCTATGATTAAGTGCTTTAGAAATGTTTTGTCTTCTCGGAGTGAGAACTGGCTCTCAGCAGGCTCGTGAAGGTTTTGGCGAATTCGGTTGGCCGCTACGGTCCTCTGCCCTGAAGTCGCCAGATGCTGAGGCAGCTCGCGATCAGAGCGCGAGAAGCACCACACCAACTGAGTACATCGGCAATCTCAGCGGGGTTCCTCTTGTAGCACCTTGTAGCGCATTATGCTGCCAGGATGGGAAGCGGCCAGGAAAACATCCCTGAGTACACCTCCGACATGTCTGGACTAAGCGATAGCCTTTTCATCTCAGCATATATATCTGGTGATCCTCATCGTCCGAGCTCCTATCTTCAAGAGAAACCACGTGGTTGTCTTCGAGCTGCTGTAACGACACCACTCATAATATTTCCGCCTTCGCTAGCCGCCTCGTTATTGTTATGGTGCAATTATGGCTTTGTTTGAGCTCGCCGCACGCAGTCTATAGACATCCGCAACGCAGGCGCATGAAGTATTACGCGCCCGGTGATGCCCCTACTGAATTGCGCACTCACGTTGTTGGCACTGATATGTTAGTTGCTTTAAAATCCTTGGTTCACCTGCTGGCAGCCACGTTATTTCCCAGCTTGTGTCACGTGATTCGTCCTCCAGGTCAGATCATGCCGCGCTCTCCCTTCAAAGTCAGAATGGTCGGGAGCGCTCCGAGTCCGAGGCTGACGCTCCGACAGAACCAACCGAATGTAGTCCGAGCGCTCGAATTTCATCAACTGAACGTGGAACCACTTTTCGTAGTGCTCCAGAGCACTTGTAAGCACCCAACCAAATACGCCATTAATAAATCTCGCGGCGCTTTAAAAATATACGTCCTGGTGTACAGCGTCTCATTGCCGCTCACACTGCAGCAGACAGGGATACTGACTCAGAAGAGCTGACACGACCAAGAAACAGCGAGTAAGGCACGACTGTAACCCCCTATGAATTCAATCATTTAGGTTATTTGCATGCGCGATCACACTTTCTAAATATCAGTCATGACAAAGCAAAAACAAAGAATCCAGAGTAGGCAGGCAACTACGAAAGTGCCAACGTGTTAAATTTTTTTTAACACAGAAGCTGGTGTGAAGGAGCCGAAAGAAAAAAAAAGATACCGGTACTAGTGGCTACAAACATAAATTTTTGGGGTATAGACAGCATTCCTGGGTTTCTCACCAGTTGCGAGTGGCGGAAGCGAACACACATGCGCGTATATAATATTTTAAATTTAATAAAGTGTACTTACGCAAAATGACTAGTGTTGCAAAGTTTAGGGAGACCCATTTTAAAGATACCCTAACAACGAAGAGGCAGGTTTTTAAAGCTGTTTGCACCAAGAATGCTCTCCCGCCATTAGTGTGTGGTATTATTACGCAACATCTACCTTATCAACACCTTTAGCATTATATAATTTGCAGAACATGGGCTTTTTTATGTCAGAGTTAGAACAGCCATAAAAAATATTCACAGTGTAATCGTGCAGCACTGGATGCACGGTCTTCTGATAACAGTGTAATAAATAGTACGACAATCCGTAAGCTGCACAGGATAGCACTAAGGCTACTCGATTGTCCACAGTCGTGTGATGTGGCGCTGTAAATTGCGCCGTAATTTTTCAACAAGGAAGACCGGGAGTGACTGACAAAAATAAAAACGCATATTGGTAGTCAAACGAGTCAGTGGTTCGACACACATACTCACATGGTGCCAAAATAAGTGGCCCATCCCCTGGCGAACATGGGGTCTCGGAAAAGCCAGAGAAACACTAAAAGAATGCAAAGCAGCAGAACGGCCACTTCGTGGAACCTGAAATGTGCATGACCAAGTTACCACGCGAAGGCTGTATAGGGAAACGGAATGCTAAAAAACACAATCTCACCATCACGCAACCTTTATTTACGAAATCACAGTTGGCACTAAACACCGTCACTGTCAAGTGCCCCTCACAAGATGCGCCCCTGCATTGTTTCACTAAGACTCTTTTTGATCGCGTAAGTAATGCAGGCTTTATTAATGTATCGGTGCATTAATGAAGTAATCAAAGAACACAATACTGGTAACGAATTGTTCTTGCGTACATATATAAAATGGGTACTTTGCAAGAGACTGTTCGTAACTATTTGTGCAACCACTAGTATAAAGAAATTAGTATAGCCACCACAATCTTCTCAGATGCGTAGATTACCGGTGTCAATTCTATGATATCCACTTTGTAACCACCAGTGTCATTGATTTCTTTCAGTGCCCTATCAGATTGATTGCGGTGCATATTTTGGCCTCTATGCGCTGTATAAAGTGCTCAATTTTGAACTATCCCACAAAGTATATTTTATGGCATATTAGCGGCTGCCATTGCGCTTTTCTATCCCTACATGAACTCTATTTTTTCACCACTAGTTCTAGAGCTTTTGAAATTGCTCCATTTTAAACTATTCCTCAAAGCGGCACCATCAATTATGAGACATAAAATAAATCCAAAGCAAAAAGGTAAATAATTAAAAACAACTCTCAGTTTTAGCGCACGTACGAAGCAGTGTATGCAATGGCAACGAACTGTAATTTTTGCCGAGGAAGGCTGGCAGCTCACTCCTACGCTATTTAATAAGGCGTAACTAAGAAAACTTCAGTAAAGCAGAGCGGCCGCGGCAGCAAGCGAAGCGGCACGTCTCTCGTATCAATGCCATGTAGGCGTGAGAGGTCAGCACATGCACAGTCCGTCCACTGATTTCACGGCTCGCCGTCGCGCGCCGTCGTAGTCAACTATAGTGCCTTGATGTGCGTGTATCGAGGCGCACTGTGGCTAACCAATCCCTAAGGGTGTAAGTCAAAGTACGAATTGACTTTCGGAAGCACGGGAGGACATTGTCGCAATGTCTATCCTTGCATATGTTTTGGTCACTGCTATTTTGGGTTCCTTGTTATTGCGGAAATGCTCTTACCCAAGAGACACTCACGTTCAAATAATTGTGGACCTCTTTTCAGGGCGACATGAGTATGTACAAAGCGGGAAACTGTGAGTAACCAAGGTTTAATAATGTACACTCATAGCAGCACACAGTGGAAATACTGCAATGTAAAAGAAAACATGATTCATCTCCCTTCTAAGGAATCGGTACAACGCGAAAAGTAAACGTGTCCTGTCAGAGGTAGTTGAGCATTTATTGTGCATTTTTTCACCACTAGGGCAAAGGAATGAACCCTGCAGTAACAAATTCCAACGCCACGCGAAAAACGGTAAGCAGCATGAAACTTGCAGCGCACCCCTCAAGCAGAAAGCACTCAAATAAATTCGACAGATCCCACGTTTCTGAAAATCCACGTTATGCGAAGCATGCGGAGGAAAGGTGACCATGTTGCAATTTTTTTTTATTGAGCATCACGTCATGAAATGACGCTAAATATATGTACAAATGTTTCACACACAGACATATGTTGAAGAGTTGGAGATGTTTATACAACCAGTTGTTTGCACTTGCACAACGATGTCAACTGGTACATGCGCATTTGCAACATCAGAGGCTGATATGAAGCGTTGATGCTTGCGAAGATGCTGGCCCCAGACACTGCTACATAAATCAACTTCAGCGCATGGCAACTAACCACATCTGACGCCAACCCGACGTGACGGCTGTATCAAAATAGTACATGTGTCTTGTTTATAATAGGCAGCACTGCAACTACTATATTAACGTTTCACAAAGAATAGCGTCTATGTAAAAAGTAGTTCTGAGACCTGGCGTAGCTCTGTGGTAAAATGCTTCATTGGCACCCAGAACGCTTGGGTTCGATTCTATCTGGGACTCGTCGAGGCAACACTACCGACGTCTGGTATTTCTTAACACTCGCGCGTTGAAATCGCCCTTGTGTGTTCTCGTCGTTCCTGGGTAGATACAAAGTGTTTGTCACCTGTGGCACATACCCGCATACCAGTGGCTCATACCCGCCCGTGGGCATGTGTCACTGTATGACGGGAAGTGTTTGACGACGTACGCGACGTAGTCGTTTTGGAAAATGTGCGCAACCCCATTTGTGAGGTACAATCTGTTTATTTCCGAAAACGCGTTTTAATAAAATCGCGTATAGTGAGCACCCATTCTGTCTACTTCTCTCCTGCGTCTTGTCTTTTGCGCTCTTCTTTTATTTTCAGACATTGCACCGACTCGCCCTTCTACGCATTCTATTGAAAACCACCCATTACTCCACCTCAGTGGATTTGTGGCTAGGGTGCTCGGATGCGGACCAGAAGGTTGCGGGTTCGGTTCTGGTCGCGACGGTAGCATTTCAGTGGAGGGTTCATAGTAGAGGCCTGCGTATTGTGCTATGTCGGTGCACGTTAAATTATACCAGATGTTAAAAATTTCTGGATTCCTCCACTATGGCGTCCCTCAGTATTAAATCATGATTTTAGGACGTAAACCAAGAAATTATACTTAACATCAGCTATAATAAACACACGGGGCCCCGTTGCAAACTAATAAGCACTGGGAATCGACGTGGTTAGAACTGCGACACTGTAACTTCTCCTGAATGTTCCAGTAGGTCTTTGCACGCATAGCTGGGAATCATTTTTCATAACTCGATATTTCTGTCGCATATGACTTTTCCCTCCTATTCGCCATTTAATTACAGTAGGCCACTTCCGTCGCCGACGACAGATGGCACTACATGCCCAAGTCCCCAAATCCTGGCCATGGCACTCTCACAACTATTCTTTTTGTCGTGAAAGCAGAACAGTGATGCGCTTAGTGTTTCACCAAGTTATTATTATTTTTCTGGCTGATATATTGCTATCTGCGGTAGCGAGTATAATGCAAGCGCAACGACATAAGCAAGAAAAACGGGAAATGTGGGCGCTATCACTCTTGAGAGCAAGGCTCAACCTACGCGTTTGTCATGCGCACGGTAAGCCATAATCCTCTCTACGAAGAGATGTCACAGTGCTTAACCAATACATTGCAATGGGCACCTGAAAAAAACAGGTTTTTTTCACTAAACTGTGGCCGAGAAATTGTGCTGCGAAGCGGGCAAGTATATTTGATAACCCACAGTGCGCGCCGATGTCCTTTCTCTGAGTATTGCTGACTTTTCAACGCAGTTGCGCTGGTTACTTGCAGTATAATGCCTGTGGATTTACGTCCCAGAACAAGGATGGGATTATGGGACACGCTGAAGTAGAAACCTCCGGAAATTTCGACCATCTGTCTTTCCTCGACGTGCACTGGCATCGTACAGTACGCGGGCTTCCATCACTTCGCCGCCATCGAAATGTGACTGCAGCGAACGGGTTTAAACCCGTGCGCCTGGTACAAAACATTGAATGATGGTAAAAGACGTATTTATTCTAGATAGCAAATGGCCACCATTTAGTTCAGTGCCCACAAATAAGAGACCAAAGAGGCAAGCAGTTCCATGTGCGAATCACATATGGTGATTACTTGCATCATTCAAGAACATTGTGTCACAAGGATAAATTGTGCAGCATGGGTGCAAAACTACATATATGCTATAATACTAAACGCTTTGCTGATAAGCACTTGCTCGTGGAACATTACATGGACGCGAACCAAAATATTTTACAGTTCACCTTCAGCAAGCTTTATTGAGATTTTTTTTTAAAGAAATTGTTCTGAAGGACACCAAAGGGCCAATTATTGGCGGTGAATACATTACGAGCAGTTTAATCGTATCTCTCTTGGATTACTTCTACACTATATATATAAGTAGCCTTTTTATTTACAGCTAGGACAGCTTAGGGTCGTTTTTTTTTATACGTACTTCACTGGGCCCAGTGCTGCGTAGCTCCGGCGAATTGCAGCCATGGTGTGGCTACGGCTTTCTTCTCCAAGGTCTGGGCTGAAAGAGGTGAGCTTGGTGTAAGTTTTCATAGAAAACGTGTGCACTCATTAGGCTTTCACCCAATAACTATAACGTATTACAGCCAATACAAGCACTAAGCAGAAAATATAAACTTTAGGGTTTCGGCAGATCCCACGCACTGTGGGAAGCAGTATTTCACGTGAAGCTGCTGCTTATGCCGCCCTTACAACAAATCCTTCTAAGGTTAATCGTTGTCTTTGAGTGATTTGAGTAGTCTTTGTCATAGCTCGTGCTTGTTAGGCGCCTTGGCTACACCGATATATAAACGGCAACTGATCGTATCACTTAGCACCGGTTCTCAGGTTAAAGCATTGACGTCCCTTTTAAGTGCGATGCTATTCATACCGATCATTAGTCCGTGCAGCAGAGTACTGCAAGAAAATCTATTGTTGGGCTAGATGATAAAACACTTCAAAGTACAGCGCTCACAATCAAGAGTTTATTCTTCGCACGTGACCACCCAGCATGTAAATTAGTTGAGACGCGTGGAGTAGTTGCTTACTAACTAGAATTTATGCCCTCAACAAATGTTAGTGTTCAGGAAAGCCCGCAGCAGCATCGAAAGTGTAATTAATCTCGTCAACTGCATAAAATTTAACAAGGCGACCGGCAACATCACCATCGGAGTATTCTTCGACAATAAGGGAGTGTTGAATAACGTGACTCATGAGTCTAGCCCACATGCCCTGAAGTCTTTAAAAGTAGGAGGTCATATGTACTGCTGGATTTTGGACTAACTCCAAGACAAGTCGGTCAACATGTCCACAATGAAGGTGACACAGCTCCACACAGAGTGAATTGAGCAGTTCTGCAGGTTGGTGTGCCAAGTGCAATCTTATTCAACATCTCTCCTGTTGGACTACTTAAAAGCATCCCTGCATTTGTTAAAATTTTATTATAAGCAGGTGACAATTGTATATGGAGCAGTGGTCGCAACAGACGTGCTCCACGAGCAAGAAGAGTACCTAAATGCGGATCTTATTCGAGGTGGATGAGTACCTAAGTGTGGATAAGTTTAAGTAAGCTCGAGAACCCCTTCTGTTTCGGCGAAAGTTAGAGCAGTGCTACCCAGAGGCTTCATGTTTGCGAATGTTAAGCCAGTGGCATTGTCATCCCACACGCTCGTGTGTAGAATATAAAGAAAGCACTTGCACTATTGGTCATTGAGCCACTTAAATTCGTAGCCGCAGTAGCATAATTTTCTCTGCAACACTGGATATCTCAGAACAAAAAAAACACGTGCGTGCGTGCCCGAATCAGCACGCTCGCGTCATAAGCAATGCCATCTCCATAACTCTTGCTCAAGGGAGCCCTACGTAATGATCACATGCGCATGCCCCATTCTTCAATCTGAAAAAAGCAGCTCCCTCACAAAACGCTGGAGCAGAACGATCCATTGCTTCATGTAGGAATGAAGATGGATATTAAAGCTTGATTGTGCTTAAAGTATTTCTAGAAGGCACGAGTGTGTGTCTTGACTGCATCGTTCATATACTCTGATCTTAGTTGTTGGGTTTACGGCGCATGAGAACGTCCTGCGAGCCTTAGTTAACCCAGTGATCCCCTTCATGCTGTAACCTGAATCAAGCAATAGTGTATGTTAGTTTTTTGCATGCCCGCTCACATTGGCTTTAAAACAAACCACTTCTCTTTATTCAGCCTGTGTATAATAGATCGTGCGCAAACTGAGCACATATTTAAGTTTGCACACACCACTTCATTAGAGTATCATAACCTCATTCAAGGTTCATAATATGAAATTGTACTTTTCAACAATAAAGGACCCACTAGCGAATGACCGCGAAGTAGTTTCGCTGCTCAAAACACAACAATTTCTAAATACGCATAACTTAGCTTCTGGTAAGAACTTCGTTTAGCGTTTATTACACTGGGCTACACTACTTTCGTCTGCTTATTGCCTCCATACAACCACCTGTAGCAATCACCTCAAATCTCACCTAAGCTCTTGTATATAGAGTGTTGACTCAGCAAAATCACTCCGTGCATTTTTTCCCAAAAAATGTACTACCTGGTGACATTCATGGTAATCATGTTGTTTGAGAGGTAGCAAAGGTAGTATAAATTTCGGCAAAATTCTCATTGCACTTGCCAACAGTTTACAAGCTACATAATAATAAATGAACTATTTATTTTCCATTTAAAGTGCTGCCGTCTAGACTGGGGCACAGCCATATTAACATATTTTACGAGCTCATTATATTAAAAAAGCACATCATCACATTGCGTGTGTGGAAGAATCTGCGCACACAGAACCCTAGTAAATAAAATACAATGTCATATCAGTACACAACTTCCACACATTAAATCCAACCAGAAAGTGAAAGCATCATACATAGATACGGACTCCGTCTTAATTTTTCCAAGTTTGCACTATTCTGCGAATAATTATACCTGCCAATTATAATGTTCGCACATTATGCTAATAAAAGGAATACTTAGGCACAATCTTCAAAATCTCGCCCTTTTGCGGTGGCCTGGTAGCTAAGGGTACTCGGCTGCTGACCCGCATGTCACGGGATCGAATCCCGGCTGCAGCGGCTGCATTTTTAATGGAGGCAAACATGCTGTAGGTTGGTGTGGTCAGATTTGGTTGCACGTTAAAGAACCTCTGGTGGTCAAAATTTCCGGTGCCTTCCACTAATGTGTCTCTCATAATCACACGGTTGTTTATGAACGTTAAGCTCCACATATCAATCAATGAATCAATCTTCTGAAGCTCTAAAATCAAGTTCATCAGTGTGAACTTTATTTAGGAACGACGGTAAAATGTGCATTCAGTGCTTTTCACGAAGAATTGATGAATTCCCTTCTTGCAAAAGGTTAACACAATGTTTAACAGATCTCTAAATTTTATTATTTGTTTTCTTTTTTTATTAAAACGTGTGAATGAATGCTAATTTTGTTGTCATGCTTACATGATTGGTGTATCATCAGATCTAGGGTAAATATTAAACTGCATAACATTCCTGTGATTAATATTCAGTAAAAGTAGTATGATGTAAAAATACTGTGTAGCCACTACTAACTCTAGCAGAATGCAATGTGAAATGGGTGCTCGAAGTATCTCAAGTACACCACTTTTTCTCGAGCCATTGGGCTCGACACAACACAAACTTGCGCACGAAATAAAGTTTAATATGAAAAACAAATACAAGACACTTGCCTCTTGCATCGAAAGAATGTAGGTACCACAGCGACAAAAATGAGGCCAGTTCCGATAAGCGCCGTAGGCAGCGCAAAGAACATCCACAGCGCATAATCTACAGGTGCCCGATCTCCGTAGAGGCTGGAACAAACAAAACGTTGATTGTATCACTGTGCTTCCAAATATCGCTACTGTTAAATTACACGACAACTTTTCCCAACGGCCAACGGTTTCTATTCTTTGTTCTTGCTGCCTCACGTGCGTCTTTAAATATGTCTCAGCTGGTTCTTTGTGTTATATAACGCACTCACTCTTCGATGACGAACTTGAATACAATATTTGATGCACCACTGGTGATGGTTGCTATCGTGCCCGTGTTGGCACCATACAGAACGCTGAGGTAGAGAATCGCCCGGATTCGGTGCTCGGTCGTCTTGTCCAGGAAAGAAATGCGATTGCGCACCTTCATGGGCACAACCACGTCAGAGTCTCCGTCATTCCTGTCAGAGAAGATACACCCACAGGCGTTCATTGTTTTTTTTTCATTCATGCATTCGATATCTAGTTCGCTTATTTATTTGTTCGTCCATTCACCCACTATTTTCTCACAGCACAAAAACATCACAAAAGGAGAGCAAGCAGTCAACTGGTTGTTCATTGCTTGGATTTTCTTCCTCTTTGGCAAAGGCAATAACGATAACTGTGCTAGAACAGGCGATGTTGCATTAGAAAAAAATCTCGCTCCTAATTGCTCTTGGTTTATTGCAGGATACCCAATACACAGAATGCTGCCATACGCGAAAGGTTCACTCGCACAAGCCACTTTTAACTTAGTCTTTTACGTTGTAGTAATCCACTATATAAACCTACTTAGTCACATTGTACAATAAAAAGTATGCACCAAGTGGTGAAGTACGCCCTATGGCAACAGGTTATCGCTATTGCGTTCAACTTAAACGCAAAGCTCAAAGCCACCCCCCCCCCTATTTTTTATTGTTGTGTTCTCGTCTCGTATACTTTTCTCAGAAGATTAGTGTGCATGTGTTACGTGCGCAGACCCACGTGAAAGTGTGCGTGTGTATGTGCTTGCGCGCACGCCTATGTGTGTCACTAGTTTCAAAATGGCATTTCAGTTGCCACCTATTATCTGGTTGTCCCTGTATTTGTGGGCCCCTGTGGATTCACGAGTTCGTATTTCAAATATGTTTCTGCGTTAACGGCTTATCAACTCTCGACATATATTCAAACAACACTTATTACAATGATTCATGATGACTCACACATCTTGGAGGGGGAGGAGCTTCTTGGTCCCATTGCTGGCAGCAGCAGCACCTTTCGACGCAACGCGTTCTCTCAATTCTTCGCTCAGACCAAGATGGAACGTCAGTGAAAGGGAAGGGGGGCAAAAAGACCAGCTATGACTTTTCTACACATGTATTAAAGCACCAACAATGACTAGTCAAAGTAATCATTCGTAATTCTGGACCTCAGACAACTGTCGGGTAGCAAGTCTTTAGATTACGCGTGGGCAGCGCAGCCATGACCTGTATATGAATTCTAAAAAGCATGACTTTTGTGAAGCGAAATCTCTGCGCAGGAAGATATGTGAACCTACTGAGCTTTTCAGTAAAGTGTTCGAGATTCCGCAGTAGTAATACTGCGATAATACAATGGCCTAAAAACTAACTAGTGCAATTTTTCGGAACAGCCTTGCCAGAAGGGCAGGCACTTCTAAACGCACTGAGGGTGTAATAAAACGATATACCTAACAAATTATGCACATCTGTATTTAATATTAGTAAAATAAGCGTTTCTCTTGTTAGTCTTTTATCTTCGTTAGAATCAATTACTTTGACTAGCAAACTTTATTAAACCACGTCATCTACGCCTAAACGAATTTACCGGCACTCATGAGAGCAAGAAAAGCAGATTTTTTTTTTCATAATAATTTCAATGAACAAGTTTACGCTGCCTAGTTTCGTCTTACTGTTGGAGCATTTGGGGACCTCAATTTCTTTTTCATTAGGATTGGTAAAAATACCCAACAATTTAATGTTCACTTGCGCACTAGCTCACACCAGTAGCGTTCTCAAAAAAGGAAGCAATTATATTAGAACTCGCTTACTGCCCAGTGCATCTTCCACAGTTGATTTTGCGTAGCCGCTTGCAGATAAATAATTGATATGTGGGAATTAACGTCCCAAAACACCATACGATTATAAGAGACGCCGCAGTGGAGGGCTCCGCAAATGTTGACCTCCGGGGGTTCTTTAACGTTCACCGAAATCAGAGCACACGGGCCTACAGCATCTTCGCCTCCATTGAAAATGCTTGATAGATATGTGGGGTTTAACGTCCCAAAACCACCATATGAATATGAGAGACGCTGCAGTGGAGAGCTCCGGAAATTTCAACCACCTGGGGTTCTTTAACATGCACCCAAATCTGAGCACATGGGCCTACAAAATTTCTGCCTCCATCGGAAATGCAGCCGCCGCAGCTGGGATTCGAACCCGTGACATGCGGGTCAGCAGCCGAGTGCCTTAGCCACTAGACCACCGCGGCGGGACCATCGAAAATGCAACCACCACAGCCAGGATTAGATTCCGCAACCTGCGGGTCAGCTGCCGAGTACCTCAGCCGCTAGACCACCGCAGCGAGGCACTTGCAGATAAATAAGCAGTCTGAAATGGTACTTGTCCCTAGCACCATCTCTTGCGAACGTGTCTGCATATTTGCGCACACTAATACTTCGAAGTGAGTTACTAGGTATTTACTAATTATTGTTAGGTGGTTTTTGCGTAGGTTACCTATCCATTTGGAGTAAAATAAAATTAAACACCTCTTAAATCTTTAGAGGAATCATAAAAAGTGCTAACGATGAAGGCAAAACACATACAAGCAGACTGCAGGAAACTGGCGTTTAGTTGAAACAGAACTCATAATCTACCATCGCATCAACCTCGTAGATATGCACAAATCTGCTCGCAAGAAATTATGAGAGTCAGTCTTCAAACGTGAAGTGTGAAAACAAATCATCGTGATCAAAATTCATCTAAAGATTACCCGCTTCGTTTTCCTTCCACGAGCACCTAAGAACGCTGATCACTTGCTTTCCGTGTCAGCTCAATCTTGATGATTTCGCCTTCCCATTTCTGATTGTTTTTGTTTTTTTTAGAAAAGTGCTGTTGTGAAATGAAGGCGTACAGCAGCAGTCTCCCACACACGACCTGCGACCATCTCGTTTGAAGCCCACTGGCCATCTAAGCTCTGTTTTTTTATTATTAATAAATTTTCGTCATAACTATACATATTCTAGAGCAACACCAGCATCACTGGTCTACGACATTGCTTTCAAAAGGCACTCTATGTATTTATCATGTGTTGAAACATTACAGTGAAACAAAAACTATATTTAACAATTTACGTCTGAACTTGGACTCTTTTGAAAATCGGTATTGGCAGGTTGTTGAAATCCTTGCAATAAACATCCTTCACAAGGCATCCGCTTATGAGATATAGGGAAGGTTTTCCCAACGTTTGCTGTCATGGCTACAATAATTAATTTCGCACTTGCCCAGCCCATCTCGGCCACGACCATGGAGCAAGTAAGACAGGGGGAGAAAGTCTGGGCGGGCGCCAGCGCGAGCATGTTCCACGATAATATCACCCTGAGAGAGGATGTTGGATGGATGAATGGATTGATATTGCTGTACCCTTTAGATCGGGCGGTGGCTAACGCCACTAAGCCGTAATAATTAGTGAACCAAAAACGAGATTTATTTCTCGTTTTTTTTCCTTTAAATAGTGAGGTTGAGGACTCCTACTTTGCAGTGAAGGGTTCAATTTTTACTCTTGCCTTGACTTTAGCCACCAATCAGATAACCTCCTTCTTGTTAATTCTACTCGCTTCAAGTCTATCTTGCCCTCCCTGTCCCGAAACCCCAGTGCTTTGAAAAACTCTGTGCCATCATCCTGAACTATAGAGTGAAGCCCTTTACAGAACAGTATCAAGTGTTCGGCAGTTTCCTCTTCCTCTCCACACGCACTGCATTCCCTGTCTACCCCTTCGTATTTGGCCCGATATGTCTTGGTTCGCAATACTCCCGTAGTGGCCTTAAACAGTATAGAACTACCCAGAGTATTATCATAGATCTTTTCCTTGGCAGTAGCCTGCTTAAAAGTTCGATAAATATTTAGTGCGGACTTCTTAATGATGCCCATTCTCCACATATCGGTATCAGCTTCCTTCACCTTCTTTTTAACTGATAATTCTTTTTCGTTTGGCCCCCTGCTGTTTTCTAAGTATTTGTCAGTCAATATTTCTGGTTCGCTTCCTCCATTTTGTATCGACATTCTCCGTGTACAAGTAGCTGAATACCTTCCTAGCCCAACGCTCCTCCCCCGTTTTCTCAATCGCTTTTCAGATTTTATCTTGCTGCTAGCTTCTCTGCCCTCAACTCATGTCCATCCCAAATCACCTTGTACTCCCTGATTTGGTGTATTCGCGTAAGCTCCTAAGGCAAGCCTACCTATTCCACGTTGCTTAATTTTTAATCTTGCTCAAACTTCTGATTTCATGCACAAGACCGCATTACCGAACGTCACACCAGAATCCACGACCCCTTTCCATATTCCTCTCACAACAACATCATACTTATTGTAGTTCCACAGTGCCCTGTTTTTCATCACCACTGCATTTCTGTTACCTTTAGTCGTCACGTATATTTCGTGTTCCGTTAGGTACTCGGTCCCATTGCTTATCCATACGCCCAGATATTTGTATTTGCCTGTTATCTCTAGCGTGACCTCCTGTATTCTAAGCTCACTACCTTCATTATCATTAAAAATCATGACTGCTGATTTTTTCTTACTGAATGTGAAATCTAACCTATCTCCCTCATTATCGCAGATGTCCATTAATCTCTGCCACCTTTTCTTGTTGTCGGCCATTAGCACTATATCATCTTCGTACATCAATGCTGGTAGTGCCTGTTCAATGAATTTTCCTTCTTTGACGAAACACAGGTTGAAGCATATTTCACTTCCGTCTAATTTGGCCTCTTATCCTAGTAGGTACATCATGAATAACAAGGGTGACAGAGGACACCCCTGCCTAAGCCCCCGTTTTACCTCTGCAGGCTTGGATACCTTTTTTCTCACTTTATAACTGCCTTGTTACCTTTTTAGATATCCTTTAAAAGATTAGTGACTCCATCTTCCACACCTAGTGTGTCCAGTATTCCCCACATGTCCTCTTGAACCACGCTATCATTCGCTCCCTTGATATCCAAAAACGTTAGCTACAGGGGCCTGTGTTCCTTTTCTGATATTTCGATGCACTGCGTCAGTGAGAACAGATTGGTGAACGTGCGCGAACGAATTTGGCGAACGTGCGCGCAGCGATCCTTGCGGCGACGCACAGAACTGTTTGTTTTCCGCCATGGTATGACAGCGCACGTGCCCGCGGCGCCCATGGTGTCCGACGAGACCCGAGTGTTGTCGACTAAATCTGCCACTCGCCGACTCCCCTATGTTACTTCATGCAGCTATCAATGTCTTTCACCGGCACGGTTTGCCAAAACAAAATGGAGCAAATGAAGTAAAGTAATCAATCATCTTGATGCCAGCATTTTTATTTATATATGTTAGATCAGCCGCTCTTAGGACAACGAAAGAAATGAAGTGGTAGGATAAAGAAAGCAGACGATCTGTAATCGTAGCTAGGCACGTGGCTAATATCACTCAATATGTAGCTTGAGGATAGCTTTTGCACGTTCTTTGATATAACAGTGCCATGCAGAGCAACTACACGTACAAGAAAGACAGACATTGATGAAGCACGTTTGAGCAGACGGCAATTGATTTAACAGAAGAGCAAAACTGCCTCGAGCTATTTAATCAGTACTGCGTAAAAAAGTTAAAATTTTTAACGCTCTGTCTCAACGAGAACAGCAGAACGAATTGCCGAGGACTATATGAAGAGGAGATCGACAATGTGAAGGAAGCGACTGCTTCTAGGAGTATTATTTTCACGGCAGAATGGTCGGCAGGTGCGACGCCGCGCTAAGTTTGAATTTCCAGACATGCATGTCCAGCCAAAGTTGCTGTGGCTCCCTGAAGCGGTGCCTTACATTGTTGAATGGAGGTTTTTTTAATTACGTACTTGTGCCCAGAAATGAAGGCATGAACTGACCGTAATATCACTGAAATAACTGTTAAAATCAGCGCCTAATGAGCTAAGGTAGGGGATACTCGTACTCGTCACGAGTTATAATTATTCAGGAAGCATTTTACCAACCACCAAACTTAATTTTAGGTAAGCTACATTGCGAAAAAAAAGCTTGGTTCGCAGTTTTACGTGTTTGAGTTGTTTTAGCTTGGTGTGAACGATTCGTTATCAGGAAGTTACAACATTAAACAAGCTTCGCAAGAGAGCAGACACATGAGAAAAACTTTTTCCTGTTTTTTTCTAATTTTAGTTTTCTTTAATATAAAAAGCTTACCAGATATGTTTTTTAATTAGCGCATATTTTGTACTATGTTCCCACAAATATTATTTCTGCCATTGCATGCGAAGCTGAAGGAGTGAAAGTGAAGCTGTTCATGAAACTATCGCGGTATGGTCTCTCTCCCAAGACGCTCTGGCTAGCATATATAGCGAAAACTCATCGTAAAGATTTGCCGTCTCATTTAGCCAGTGTATCTAAGCTATGCGCTGATACACTAAATGGTGAGCACAAGCAGACAACAATAGCGGGCTCCACGCTTCTCACGTCTGCTCTTCCGGCGCGGCCGCTCATCCGTGGTTATGTAGGTGGCGCGGTCCACGGGGTTAACACAATCGCGGCGCATAAATGAGCCGAGTTTCCCCTCCTGTATATTCTTTTTCCGTGGCCCCGACAGATTGCACCACCTCCGGTTTACGTGTCTAGGTTTACGGAAAGGTGTAAAGACGGTAATCACTTCAGGGCTTGCATTCGGGAACTCACGGGTGTGCATGAAGTCACTCGAGCAGTCAATACTGGACGTAAGTCAAAGAACTATTGGGCGCCTCATGTTGAGCACTCGCGCGAAGAGAAGTGGGGATTTTCATGGGCGATGCAAGGTGAGCAAATTTTGAGGTGAGAAGAGCTCCGATCAATATTAGGTTCAAACAAAGAGGAAGGAATATGAAGAGCAGTGAATGGGCAGACACCAACAGTGGAGAAAAAGAGCTCGCGGAGTAAGCGGCGAGGCAGCAAGGAACGTTAGGGTGTACTGACGCGACTACTAATTTTTTAAGAATGGTTGCCGTAAAAGAACACACAAGTACCGATAACCTCAAGAAGAGCAACGTGGTGCCTGGCAATGAATCAAAAATATTTTTATTACCTCTACCCTCAAAAAGCCCTTGCGGTTTTGATATAGAAGTAGCTGTTTCACAATGACGTGTAAACTCAGTCTGACGTCACGAGGAGACTCCAATTCGTGATGTACAGACAAAATCACACTTGTCTAGAGTGCCCAGCCGGCCGCTCCAGCTGTCGTTTTCTACAGAAATATGTAAATATCGATGCCGCAACGACACCAAACAAGGTCATACTGCTTGCTACTATGGCCAGGTCTTTTGTGCTAGAATTTAAGCACAAACGAATACTCACAGCTACCGTGAGGTAGAAGCCGTGGCCAACAACAGCGTCTACAGCCATGCTCTCCACTGCTTTAGACAAGTCTGATTCTGTCTGTACTAGCAGTAGCTATGCCACCTGATATCGATCCCACGCGGTACAAGTAAACATTGATGAGTGGTCTGCGATGGTGGATCAGTGGATAAGGTGCTTGGCTGTTGGCCCGAAGGGTTGGATTGGATCTTAGCTGCTGCAGTCGGATTTGCTGTGCCCGTGCATGTTAAAGTACCCCAGATGGTCGAAATTTTCATGGTCCGCCACTAAGGCGTCACTCGTATTCGTTTCGCGGTTTCGGGACGTAAAACCTCCGATGTTACTACGAAGAGGTAATTGCCTACATGTGATTTCTTCAACGATTTCTCCGATTTCGGCCCGTCCAAGACACAGAGTTCGCCAACTTGATAGAACTGCGTTTATCTCGTCGTCGTATTGCCCATTGCAGTGCCACTGGCATGCCGATGCAGGGCAGCGAAATGTTCACAACAGAAGTAATGTACTTTACACTTTTTGTCAGCCTCTGGTAAGGATGGAGCGTCAACACTAAAGCGCAACGAAAGGTCCCTTTTGCAATGCCTGAACATCTTCTCGGTACTCCTTCAAGCAGAGGAATGGCGAATATTTATCGGATCGTAGGAATAGAAAAACCAGGCGCTCAGTAACTGCTAAAGGGTTAAACACGCAAAGAGAGAGAAGGACCGTATCATTTTTGGAGGGGAACCGCTTGATTGGTCGAAGCAAGCTTGGTGTATTTTAAAACGCATAGGTAATAAGACTGTTTCAATAATGCAGAAGTAAAACAGGCACGCTGAGGGAAAGCTAAAGATATGACGCAATGATGTTTTAAATAAATGTGATAATATACAGCCGTGTGCATATTTTGGTGAAATATAAATAGCGAGAAAAATAATGTCATTCTGCTTTAAGGGGTGAAGAATTTGGTGGTGATTTTATTGTATTGTGTCTATAAGAAAGTTGGTTTAATTTAACGAAACGCACGCTCCTTAACGGGACCTCGGTCCGCCTTAGCTTCACGTTACACGTGTGGTAGGAATGCTTGCGTCATACATGATACGTTCGTCCTAGCGCTTTCCCACAGAGATGAGATAGACGTGTGTTCTCCCCAGTTTGATAACTCTGTCGAATTCGCTCCTTTGCACTGCTTCTTTGTGGCTCGAAGCAATACGCCACCGCCTCACGGCTGTCGTGATGCAGCAGAATCGCAGTGGCACGTCCCAATTGCTTGCTCGCATAGCGCCATCAACGAACGCGCTATCTGAAAACACGGTGTCTCTTACAGAGCCAGCGTGTCTACCAACACTTCGAACACGAGCAATATGAAACACCACCCCGTGAATCTGTACTCAACTGAACGAAAAAATTACTTTAACCTGCATGATTATTCCTGTATGAGGCTGCACTTGATGGGTTCTCTCCGCCATAGCAACAAAGCGCACGCGAAGGCTAGGTGATGGGCGAGAGCAGGAAAGGGCTAAAAAAGAGTGTGGTTAACGGCTGGGTTTGACGCATAAGACTGACATTTCTAAAAAGGGGGAGGTGCTGGCTAGAATCTCTGAAACGTTGATCTTAGGAGCAGCCATGACGATGATGATATGTGGGGCTTAACGTCCCAAAACCACCATTTGATTATGAGAGACGCCGTAGTGGAGGGCTTCGGAAATTTCGACCACCTGGGGTTCTTTAACGTGCACCCAAATCTAAGCACACGGGCCTGCAACATTTCCGCCTCCATCGGAAATGCAGCCGCCACAGCCGGGAATCGAACCCGCGACCTGCGGGTCAGCAGCCGAGTACCTTAGCCACTAAACCACCGCGGCGGGGCTGGGAGCAGTCATGAGTGACGTGAATTTGCGAGATAGGGCTGCAGGTGTAAAACGAATATCACGAGTAGTTCACGCTCCCTCAAAGCACGTTTACGATCCCTCAAAGTTTGTGCGTTGGCATCTGTGCGTTACACCGGTCACACGGTAACAAAGGTGTGCGGTCAAACTGAAAAATCTCTAATGTGAGCGTTGATTTTCAGCCTTACCTCGGGGTTTGCAAGTAGTGGTAAGAAAGCACTTTTTGTTTCACAACCAATTGAGACTTTTTAAATCACATCTCTTGAAAGAATTGTGAATGCATTATTACCACGTCAGTAACTCAAGCTGTTATACTGTATCACTGATCTTATTTTCAACATAGGCTTTGAGCGGCGTGGACCACGTTATCCTGTTCGCCAACCAGATCCAGGGAAAATGCAGTAAGGCGCGAGCTCCTCTGGTGCCCTGAGATCTGTAATGTAGGCATGGAAATGTGCGCAAGCCATTCCACCAGATTTATATTCCAAGGCGGAGAAGGAAAAAAAACGTTACACTCAGCAGCCCTCACGCTGAAATAACGTTTGTAAGAAAGGAACTCACGGTGTCCTTGTAGGCTAATAACCACTTGGGATTATGACATGAAGCAAGTTCAGAATGATTTATGCTTCACTAAAGTTTTATTCTGCAAGCATAATTTACCTTGGCCGAATTAAAGTTTTTTTTTCACATGCTGACTCTGAAAGGTTGTCTGACCTCATGGCGTCTATTTTGCCATCGTGTAATCAGCGAGTGCACATATTTGAAGCACTTAGGCGCGGCGCAAACACCGACAGCTGTACGAGGCCAAAGCCCAGGCGGTCCTACCTGCTAATCCTTCAATCTCGATATTTCCTAGCGAAAGGCTCCTGCGCCGCTCTTGAAGTAGCTCGTGCGCAAGTGAGTTTGTCACGGGCATCATCATTGCAGTGATGGCCACGTTGTTGATCCATATGGAGAGGAACATAGAGATGAACATCAAGCCAAACGCCAGCCTGCGACACGCAGAAAATAAAGAGAAACACGCAATAAAAACTTAAGTTGCAAAATAGAGATTTGAGCTAGCTGATGCAAATGCATCCTTGAATGTACCAGGACGCCAGTCCTGTGTGTGTGATTCTTCTCATCTATGTCTTTTAGAACTGCTAAAGATGCATTAAACAGAAGTGTTTTTCGGGCCTCTGCGAAGGAGTATCACGATTCGCGAACGCTTCAAAAGAACTGTGTCGGCACCACTACACAGTTTAACCTTCACCTTTTGTTTAGAAGTGATAACGCTTGTTTTACCCCGTTCTTTTGAAGAGGATCTTACCGCAAGTGCGAGGGCAAGCTTTCTTTGTGTTCTGGGTGTGTCACCACGCTTGTGTTGGTTTATTTATTTCAAGATTTTTTTTTTGTATCCACGAGACTGTGCTGTACTCAGAAAAGTTTAATTGAGCTCTGTGTTTTTCTGTTCAAGCCAAGAAAAAAAATACGCTAAAAAAGCAAAACAGGGGGAAGCTTTGAATTAGCCGTGAGAAGCTTTAAACGTCGAAGCTGGTGAATGCAAGAGCTGATACTTCCATGCGTGTAGGTTTGAATTTGGCTGCCGTTACATTAGGGCGCGTTTTATATTGGTCTCTTGAATGGACCAGCTTGGCTGTTTAAAGCCTTGCGTAGCCGAGGTGCAAGCCTTCCCGCTTTAATTATGACGTATATAAGGACTGAGTGGTTGTTAGGTAACATTTAGAGTAAACTTAGTGTGGTTACACCTAATGAATAATTTTTAATATTTTTATTTATTTTGTTGTCCTCAATCACCAAAGCATTACAGGGGGAGTGGTTTACAACTTGCAAAAATTAAAAACAAAGAAACAAATCATGTGAGTATATACAAGAAACAAGACCTAAACGAAATAAAACCTTTACTCGAGGAAACATAACAAAACTAAAGCGTGAATAAGAAACATTAAGAAAAACCAGCACAGAAAAAGTGGTAAAATTTTACAGTAGTAGCGGCAGAATGTGAATGTAAGAAAAGTACTACCGTAGTCACTACGGCAGTTTTGGCCATGGTCTAGGTATTACACTGTGGTTTTGGCGCCTCTCCTCCGCATCTGTGACCGTGGCACATGCTAGGCTTGACATGACGTCACAACAGCGGTCACGGTAGTTGGTTGCGGGGGCTTTAGTCGCCGAGCGCGGCTTCGTGGCGGCATCTCGAGTGCTACTGCTTCGGCTCTTGTGTGGCTTAGAAACATGTTCTACCAGCTAGTGTGGCAGCGAGGCGAGGCAATGCCAGGTGGTGCGCAGCTGCGGTGTCGCTGGTTGCTAGGCAAAGGTGCGGTGAGGTTTCTTGCGGGAAACCGACACTTTTACGCCATGCTTAAGAGCTTCTTTGTTAAACGACAACTAAAATTTTATTCTACTTTCTATAGGCGTTCACCGCAAAACGATAGGTGTGGGCAAAATTATCAAGAATGTAATACCGCCATCGCTTCGCCGTTGTGAACCTGTATAGACGCATCACGTCTACGCAGGGAGCTTAAATGGCAAACTTAAGGCCACGCATTAATATAATACCTCAATGAACACCATATTTACGCACTATTACTACCAATTCTATCTGCCACGAAGCGTGAGCGAAAAGTACATGCAGAAGTCGACAGGGAGTGTGATAGATTGAGTACACATTGCCGCGCGTTGTTCGCGTGGTAGCCTTCGCGATTAGTCTGTTGAAATGGATGGCACCATGGTACCGTGCATACTTTTTCAGGCTTTTTTTTGTCATTTGTTGATACTTTCTCTTCGCGTAAGTACGTTACCAATAATGCATCATTCTATTTCTTTTGGTATATAAATATATATTATAAAGGAGATTTATTGAGCAGAAAGGTTGATGCTTGGAAGGCTTGGAAGGCGATGCACCAGCCGCAATTTCCGAGCTCGAGCCGCTGCTGCACGCTCGATGCTGCTGCCTCTGCACAGAAGTACTTCCTCTTCTTTACGATGGTCCCACGGAGAAAAAAAGGAGCCATCCTGGCGACTTAGTCCTGTGCAGGCGGCGTTGAACCGTGGTACTCCTTGAGCCTCTGAACGTGTACAACCTCGCGGTTGCGACCTCGCAAGTCTGATGGTGGCGTAAGAGGCTCAATGAGGTAGTTTACTGGCGAAGTTTGTTCGACAATACGATATGGCCCATCGTACTTTGGCAGAAGTTTGGAAGAGAGCTCAGGTGTGCGATGCGGCACTGACAGCCATACAAGAGCACCCGGAAGAAAAACGGGAGTTGAGATCTGGGCATCATGAATTGCTTTTTGCCTGTTTCGGTCATCGCAGGTAAAGCGACGAGTTAACTGGCGACATTCTTCTGCGTTTCTGGCTGCGTCCAAGATCGGTAGGCACTCGGACGCGTCCGGTCGATAGGGCAGATTGGTGTCAATGGTGTGGGAGGAGTGACGGCCGTAGAGGAGGTAAAAAGGGGAGAAGCTTGTTGTCGCTTGCGTTTCCGTAATATAGGTGTATGTAATGAAAGGGAGGACTAAGTCTCAGAGTGATCAGGCGTTACATACATAGATAGCATGTCACCGAGAGTACGATTAAAGCGCTCGGTAGCCCCATTGGTTGAAGGGTGGTAAGCGGTACATGTGCGATGTACAACAGCACACTCAGCGAGCAATTTTTCAATGACCTCGCACAAGAAGGCGCGGCCACGGTCTCTGAGGAGTTCTTGAGGGCCTCCATGACGCAACACAAAATGACGCAGTAGGAAAGTGGCAACTTCCTGTTCTGTAGCCGTTTGAAGAGCAGTGGTCTCAGCATAGCGTTACGTGGTCGATAGCAACTATTATCTACCTGTTGCCAGTCGGAGGCAATGGAAGTGGCCCATAAATATCTATTTCAACCCGTTCGAAGGGTCGGGAAGGGCATGGTAAAGGCTGCAGTTCACCGGCGGAGGCATGTGGTGGAGATTTTCGGCGCTGACATTCGGCACAAGAGCGGACGAATTGGCGGACGAAGGTATACATACCACGCCAGTAGTAGCGATGTCGAAGCCTTTGGTAGGTCTTGAAGACTCCAGCGTGGCCACATTGTGGGTCAGCGTGGAAAGAGGAACAAATATGCCACCTCAAGGTTCGTGGAACGACGAGCAGCCACTTGCGTCCCTCTGGTGCGTAGTTGCGTCAATAGAGAAGCGTGTCACGTATCGAGAAGTGTAGAACTTGGCGTCGGAGCGTTCGCGTCTTTGGGAGTTCAGAAGTATCGGAGAGATGATTGAGGAGAGACGCAGTCCACGGGTCAATGCGTTGTTCAATAGCAATGGTGTCAAAGTCAAGCGATGACAATGTGTAATCGCAAGCAGAGTCAGCTGTGGCATTCTGGGGCAGGGGGGAACGGGAAAGGGCGTCGGCGTCAGCACGCTTCCGTCCTGACTGATAAACCACGCGTATGTCATAATCTTGAATTTTCAACGCCAGGCGAGTGAGGCGGCCAGATGGGTCTTTTAACGTCGAAAGCCAGCACAGCGCGTGGTGGTTGGTCACGACGTCAAAAGAACGACCATATAGATATGGGCGAAACTTTCCAAGGGCCCACACAATGGCCAAGCACTCCTTTTCTGTGGCGCTGTAGTTGCTCTCAGCCTTGGTAAGCGTGCGACTACAGAATGGGTGGCGTCGGGAGAAGCCATCGCAAGGTGGTGAAAGCATCGTCGCAGGCAGGGAACCATGATAAGAGGTCTTTACAGTTGCTGAGAAGTTGCGTGAGAGGTGATATAATAGACGCGATGTTTCGGACGAATCGCCAGAAATAAGAACGCAAGCCGATGAAGCTTCGAAATTCTTTGATGGTGGCAGGGGTTGAAACGCCGTAACAGCTAGCAATTTCTCGGGATTCGGGAGGATGCTTTCCTTGGAAACAACGTGGCCCAAAATGTTCAGTTGAGGCATGGCAAATCGACATTTTTTTGAGGTTTCATTGCAAACCGGCGTTAGTCAAGCAAGTAAGAACGTGCTGAAGGTGCGTAATTGTGTGACAAAGTTAAGGGCGAAGACCACGATATCATCGAGGTAACACAAGCATATCTTCCATTTTAGTCTATGCAGGATGTTGTCCATCATTCGTTTGAACGTTGCAGGTGCATTGCAAAGTCCGAAGGGCATGACGGTGAATTCATATAAGCGCTCTGGCGTGACAAAAGTGGTTTTGGGGTGATCGGCCTCCGCCATAGGCACCTGCCAGTAGCCTGACTGCAAGTCTAACGAGGAGAGGAACTCGGCACCCTGTAAACTGTCCAAAGCATCGTCAATGCGCGGTAGTGGATAGACATCTTTCAGCGTGATCTTGTTCAATCGCCGGTAATCGACACAGAAACGAATATAACCGTCTTTCTTTTTGACGAGGACCACCGGAGACGCCCTTGGGCTCTGTGAAGGTCGAATGACACCTCTGCGAAGCATGTCGTCTACTTGGTCAGCAATGACGCGGCGTTCTGTAGCGGACACGCGATATGGTCGTTGTCTCAGCGGTGAGTGGGGCCCAGTGTCGATGTGGTGTTCTAATCCTAAGGCACGGCCGAGAGATGTTTGTTCAACGTCGAAAGAATGGCGGTAGCTCTCAAGAATGGTGAGGAGTTGTGAACGCTGCGAGGATGTCAAATCTGCAGCGCTGAATGGTTGAAATATGTTCGCCGACGTTGAGTCAGTCGCTGAGACGAAAGCCAGTTCACAGGCAGAGGTAGAAGGCACCTCATTGGGGACGGATATAATTCTGGAAGAACTGATTGTCTCGACGTGGCCTAGGCACTCGTGACAAAGTGGGGATAAAGACGACGACTCATGACTATAAATTGGCATTGTGGTTGAGCCTTCTACAAGGTCGAGAGCAGCAAAAGGCAGGGGGAGGGCTTTTTGGGTGACGAATATTGGAGAGCGTGTGAAGAAGACCGTGCCGTCGGATATGGCGCTGCATGAAACAGGCACCAACGCAAAAGAGCATGGAGGGATGTAGGTGTCATCGCTAACGACAAGTTTAGCGGCAGACTGGATGTCGACGGACGCTTGGTCATCCAGTGAGCAAAATTCTACCTCAGCCTTAGCATAGTCGATTACGGCGTTATGACGCGACAAAAAGTCTCATCCCAAGATAATATTACGGGAGCACGATGAAAAAACCATGAACTCTATCGTATACAGAACGTCCTGATTTGTCACGCGGGCTGTACATACTGCGGTAGGTTGAACTGGTTGAGCGCTGGCTGTGCGAAGCGATAATCCGGAGAAAGGCGTCGTAACCTTACGAATTCAGCGGCAAAATCCAGCATCTCTAACAGAAACAGCTGCACCGGTATCTACAAGAGCAACAGTAGGAATATTTTCAACGAACACATCAATAACATTGGTAGGTGACAAATGAAGACTTGGGCAAACCGAAACTTGTGCAGTTCTTGCCTCAGGAACTGCATCGTCTAGTTTTCCTCCTCGTTAGGCGCGGGCCGTCGACGCATAGGAGAAGGCGACCGGCGGCGTGGAGAGGGCGAGCGAAGACGTCCCGACCGAGGGCGGTGGTCGTTCTGGTAGCGGGCTGGCATTGGAGTGGAGGAACCGTATCGCGCGTGGGAGTCAAGTGGGAAGAAAGCCTCACGGCGGTTTTCATTGGTGATATGCGTCCGGCGGCGGCAATACCTTGCAACGTGTCCGGGGTATCGACAAGCGTAACGTATTGGGCGATTGTCGAGGGTGCGCCACGGGTTGGTGGTGTTAGTGCTGGTCCAGTGAACTGGAGCTGGGGGATAGCTCGCGTGAGGCTGGAACGGAGGCGCAGGCGCCTTGCAAATTGGCATGGCTGCAGCCGCGGCGTAGGTGAGAGGAGCAGCCACAAGATTAGGCTCGCGAGCAGCTGGTAAGGCCTCGGCGACCTCTTCTTGAATGACGCCACGTAGAGACGATGGTAAAGTTGAGGTAGGTTCTGGTATGAAAGGCACCGAGGAAAGCTGTCGTGCGACTTCTTCGCGGACAAATGCTTTTATTTCGGCTATTAGTGACGCTTGGTCATGACCACTGATCACACTAGACAGCGATGCCAAATCGTGCGCTGGAGGACGTCTTGTCAGAGCTCGCTGCTTCCGCAATTCATTGTAGCTTTGGCAGAGGTTAACTACGTCGTTAACAGTGGTCGGGCTTTTCGCCAAGAGCATTTGAAAAGCGTCGTCGTCAATCCCTTTGAGGATGTGCTTATATTTTTCAGCTTCCGTCATTGCGGCGTTCACGCGTCTGCACAAATCGACGATGTCTTCTATGTAACTAGTGAAGGCTTTACCCGTTTCTTGTGCGCGTGTGCGTAAACGTTGCTCGGCACGAAGTTTTCGGACGGCAGGTCGATCGAAGACTGCTACAATCGACGTCTTAAATTGCGACCACGTTCGGACGTCTGCCTCATGGTTTCTAAGCCAAAAGCTGGCTACACCCGCGAGGTAGAACGACACGCGTGTCAACTTGTCCGCGTCCGTCCATCTGTTTAAAGCGCTCACCCGTTCGAAAGTCGAGAGCCAATCTTCAACGTCGTTGTCACCTGTTCCACTGAAGATTGGAGGCTCCCGCTGAGGAGCACTGCCTGGACAGGTGGCTGGAAGAGATAGAAGCGTCCGCTGATCGGCGTCCGGCATAGCAGAAGGTAGCCGTCGAGAACGGAGTTCCAGGATGGTAGCGGGAAGGTGTACGGGACGGTACCCGGCACGGCTCCACCAATTATAATGGAGATTTATTGAGCAGAAAGGTTGATGCTTGGAAGGCTTGAAAGGCGATGCACCAGCCGCAATTTCCGAGCACGAGCCGCTGCTGCCTCGGCGCCGGAGTACTTCTTCTTCTTTACAATATATATATATATATGTATATATATATATGTATATATATATATATATATATATATATATATATATATACATATACGCTCATATCATAATTTCACCAAATTTCGCCGAGTATCGCAACCTATTCGTTATATCCTGCTGTTTGAAAACTTCTCATCGGTAAATGGGAGTAAAATTACAGCGTGTTACTACTGGTATCATACGAAGAATGTCTGGTTGAATTAATTGGTGGTTCATTTTGTTTAAAAAGTGAGGGCGTCGTACAACGTTACCTAATGACGCAAGGTTGAAATGCACTTGTATTTGTTAGCTCCTAGGCCTTGTATCAACACCGCACAAAATTTTCCGAAATGGCGACACCACAGCGTGATACACAGGCACATAGCTGGCTTCACCAGAACTTTGCGCCCACCACGTGATAGGTGAAAATATTTAGGCTTGATAAAGTCTACACAAAGAATTACTTAAGCACAATAAGACTGTGACAGTTACTTCTAAAGTGCAAAATTTGGGTAAAAAAGTACGACAAAAGTTAGCAAAACGTAAAAAGGACCCTGCTTGTTCTATAAAAATTCAGGCGACATTTTGTCATGGACAAACGCATATTCGGTGTTGCCGCACCAGAGCAGCACTTAAAATCGGCCGGGAACAAAAGCAGCCTCCGCAATCATAAAAAGAAATTTTTGCCAGGCTTGAGTAGAGAACGTATACTTTTGATGAAAATATGGCCACGTAGCAGACAATAGAAAATATTATTGTTTAGACAGCAACATTTGTGTGAGTCCACTTTTTTGCTTTGTCTCGTTTAGCACTTTTTCCTTGTCTTATTACGAAAAAACTGGTCCTTCAATTAGCCTACTCTGCTATATATATCGACTTGCACTGCTGCCCTTCAATATAACTGAACACACATCATGTCTGCTTTTTTCATAGTGTGTTCATGCCGAGTAGCTCTTTTAGTAATTTTCACGGGCGTGATGTGCAAGTCTGACGTTGGCAGTACGGCTCACTGACATCTTGATGCCGGTGCCCAACAGACACAGTGTCTTGAGAGCGATCCTTTGATGCAGGTGAGAGTGCTCGATGGCGACGGCCATAATCAGGGTGCCCAGGAACATTAGGTTTATGTCCTGCAACAAAAGGTAGATCAAGTGTAAGTTTTACATCAAACTTATCGCGCAGTTACGTGAAAGTTAAACTAAACTCATGGCACTCGATCATGGATTGAAACCCGACAAGTTAGGGCTGATAACGCACATTCTTTCGTTCACACAATCAGTACAACCACCGCGGTGATCAAGCGGTCACTGGTCCTCGGCTGCTGATCCGAAGGTCGCGGGTTTCATCCCGGCGCTGACGGTTGCATGTTGTAGGCTCGCGCTCTTAGATTTGTGTGCACGTTGAAGAACCCTGGGTGGTTGAAATTTTCAGAGCCCACCTATACAGCGTCTCTTAAAACCATATCATGGTTTGTGGCAAAAAACCATTTCACCCATCTTCGTTTCAGGTCGTATGGGCATAAATTCAAGTCGAATACGTAAATCAGAGCCACCAATAATGGTACAAGGACAGTATTTGCCGGGACACGACATGGTTGCGTCCCCCGGTTGCGCATAACAGTCGTTATACAAGAAAAATACATGTCGCGTTTCAATCTGTGAGTACTGCATATTTTCAAAATTAGTCATGAACATAGTATTTTCCTCTATGCGGCATTTCAATAATGGTATTGCGAGATTTTATTATACATTCCTAATTGTATTGATGACATAGTGTGCATGATTCGCGGAATTTTTCATTTCATGATTGCATAAATCATTTCCAGTGAGGAATTCAGTTTTTAGATTCCTTTCAGCGAGATCATTTTCTATCAAATAATACACAGCTTCGTCCATTTATTTTCACCATCTATTTGCATAAAATAACCGGACTGACACCGAGTTCATGTGCGGAACTGAAGCGACCATATAAGTTATTTTGCTAATCGTGAAGGTAGGAAGGTTTGTCACTATTCTAGGAGCGTGCTCGAGCATGTGAGTGCTAGAAGCTGACGTACGTGATGACGGGATGAAGTAAACGAGAAGTGGAAAAACCACCCTTAATTCATATTTTGCTTACGCTAAAATTGAAGGCTTCCAAAGAGCTCAACTTTGTCTTTAGCGTTTCATACAGACATGACGAATCATTCGTCTGCAAAGTTTTATCACCGGAGCTCTTTATTTCAGTCACTTTCCTCTACACTCTTGAAAAAAGTTAGCAAAAAGGTAGAACTGCAAGCAAATAGGTAGTAACTGCCACGCTTACTACCTTAGAGAGTTACTAACGTTTCTCAGCCTGTTTACTATCTACGTTAGTAAACAGTCACTACATGCAACCATTACTAACTTTTTGGTACCTGTTAACTACCTACGTTAGTGAACAGTTAGTAACTGGAATGAAATAGATCATAACTGGAGCCGTTACTAACTTTTTGCTATCCCTCGATATCTATTTAATCTAAACCTATAAGTAATACATATTCTATTAATTTTTAGAGAAATTCTCTCGAGGTATCATCTTTAAACAAAAACATGACGCATTACATATCTACAAATAGCAAAAACATTTATTTCAAGTTAGGACACCCAGTTACGTAAGCGCCATTATCTTTTTATCAATACGGATAAGTACAAGTTAGCGTACCATAAGCAAGTGCTACAGGTGTCATAATAGGCAATCGCAACAATCATAGTAAATTAGAACAAACTAGCACGACAAGCAGATCGGAATTAACCAGATGGTCAAAATAATTCGAAGTCTATCATTGCCTTGTGTCTTATAATAATATTTTGATTTTTGCATATTAAACGAAAGATACTATTATTACGCTTAAACCACCAATATATTAGCGCAGTGAAACATTCACTTGCACTTAGACTATGTTAATGAGTTCAGTTTTGGTACCTTCTTTCGGCGGCAGTAGATAATGCTTTTTCGTGACACTAATATGATAAATAGATATGACATATTTCCTATTAGTACGGTTGATTTAAAGTTTGTATTACGTCCCCAAACACACATAATCGGGTAGTATGATATAGTGGTCTAGGCTCGAATTTTCATAATTCATCATAAAAGACAAGTGCTCACTTGTGCCAGACATGCGTGTTGAAGTAGGCATGGAAGTCAAGTCGCCTCATTCCACTTCTAAAGGCTAGTAAATCTCCTTTAGATATTGCCTCATACCGTCCTATCGCACTTGCCAGTTGTGTGGGAAAAACAATGGAACGAATTATTCTAACACGAATGGAGTGTTATTTAGAGCGCTATGAAATCTATCCAGTATCCATGACCAGATTCAGGCGCGGCCATTCGTCGATCGACAACGTTGTTGATCTGGTGACATATGTTCAACACCAGAAAGCCTGTAAGAGACTCTGTGCCACCCTGTCTCTAGACGTTAAGGTGGCTCACGATAATATCACCCATGAAGCCATCCTCAGAGCTTTGGAAACAGTAGGTCTTGGTGGCAAGATATATATGTGGGTGTGCAGCTACTTACAGCTGAGATAATTTTACGTGATGACAGCGAATGACCCAACACCTGATTATTACAGCAGCCGAGGAGTTTCTCAGGGAGGAGTGCTAAGCCCTACACTTTTCCATCTAACTCTCATTGGTCTAGTCGAGCAGCTACCTAGCACTGTAGAACTTTCTGTCTACGCTGATGACATCTGCCTTTGGACATGAGGTGTGACAAGGCCTCAGCTTCGCGCCCGCCTTCAGAAGGCTGTTGCAACGACGTCACGCTACCTTCATAAACAAGGCCTCGAGGTGTCCTGCGGAAAATGTGCAGTGGTAGCATTCACGCGGAAACCAACGTCTGCTTACAGCATATCGAATAATGAAGAATACATATCGTTGAGCAGAAGGCACAGGTTCTTGGGAGTCATAATAGACAGAAACCTGTCGTGGACTCCACACGTGAACTACGTGAAAGCGGCTGAAAGCAACATGCCACATGTTCAAATTCCTTGCAAGAAAAAATTGGGGAGTGCCCATACCATCCATGCTACAACTGTACAGAGTGCTGTTTATCGAATTCTTACGGTACAGCTTACCTGCAATATCTAACACCGGCAAGACCAACATGCGCGCAATTCAGAGCATTTAAGCCCAAGCACTTAAGATATGCCTTGGATTACCCCGCAGTGCTTCAACGGCTGAAACCATTGCCATTGCTCAAGATCACTCGATAAAGACGCATATTATTACCGAGACAATGCGCATGCACGTCAGGCATTATGCCAGGACCCCTTCTCACCACCTGACGAGCCTAGCTGCTGAAAGGCCCCGCACGACATACGGCGCTACTGTCTACAAGCATCGTTAATCGTTTACTGAGACGTACGCACCTGCATCAAAGACACTGTTTCCTCCTTGGAGATTGAGCCGGCCGCGAGTTCACTTAATCATTCTAGGAATGAGGAGAAAATCGGACTTGCCGACACATGCCCTGAAACAACTGAGTCTATTCCTACTGGAACAAAACTACCGTAACCACGTGCACATTCACACGAATGGCTCTACTGCGCCGTCTAGTTCAGGTGGAGCAGTGGTTATACCATCACAAGAAGTAACTCGATGTTTTAAGACTACACATGTGACAACGTCAATGACGGCAGAACTCGAAGCTCTGCGCAATGCACTGGAACTCAACAATTCGGAAGAAAGACCAGGTAAATGGGCTGTGTTTTCTGACTCAAAATCAGCGTTACAGTGCCTGATATTAGTTCTCCGACGCGGATGCCACGACCAGTTGACCTACCAAATCGTGAAACTTTACCACGTTTTAATACAAAAAGGCCGCGACATCGTCTTTCAGTGGTTACCTGGGCATTGTGGTATAGGCGGCAATGATTCTGCAGATCATGCTGCTCGCACGTCACATAAAGAAGCAAACAGCGTTCTGATTCCGCTTTCGAGAGCGGATGCAGCGAGGCAGATTCGTCAACTGGCCCGCAATATCACACTGACTGAGTGGAACACACCAGGCATACGGCGTACAAGACTGCACAAGCTCGACCCTTCACTATAACTCCGGCCTCCACCCAGCCTACATCGACGTGTAGCTTCACTTCTCTATCGCCTTTGGCTGGGAGTTGCTTTCACGAAAGCTTATACCAGGTTAACCGGAATTACTGACAGTGCAGCGTGCGATGTTTGTGGCACCGACGAAACTATCGAACACCTGCTGTGCCATTGTCCTCGATTAGCCTCAGATAGACAAGTACTTGACAACGCAATACGGCGACTGGATGATCGGCCTCTTTCTGTGCAGGTGCTATTACAGCAACGTCCACATGCCTCGACAGCCCAGAAGGCAGTGAAAGCCCTGCTGTGTTTCCTGAGAAAGATAGGCTTGTGTGAACGCCTCTGACATGTGGTAGAGTTCTACACGCTGCAGTGAAATTACTGTCAGTCTCTTTCCCCCTTTTGTTTTCTTTTTCCTCTCTTCCCTCTTTCTCATCTTTCTTGTCCCCTTCCCTAAACCCCCAGTCTAGGGTAGCCAACCGGATGTCTTTCTGGTTAACCTCCCTGCCTCCCTTTCGTTGCTTCCTCCTCCTTCCTATACTTCCTACGGCTATGTACTCTTCGCATTCGCGGCATACCACGAAAGATTACCCGAAGTTGTGCAGTAATGAGACATCAATTACCCATTATCAACTATAATAAATTATTGTGACAAAATGAGCACCATAGCTCTGGTTACTTCTTTTTTTCCTTAAAATCTCTAAAGCTACTATATATGGTTACTAATGGCAAATGTAATAACTGTTACCACACTCGCCGTTACTAACAGCACATACTGATTGATTGATATGGGGGGTTTAACGTCCCAAAACCACTGATGATTATGAGAGACGCCGTAGTGGAGGACTCCGGAAATTTTGACCACCTGGGGTTCTTTAACGTGCACCCAAATCTGAGCACACGGGCCTACAACATTTCCGCCTCCATCGGAAATGCAGCCGCCGCAGCCGGGATTCGAACCCGCGACCTGCGGGTCAGCAGCCGAGTACCTTAGCCACTAGACCACCGCGGCGGGGCCAGCACATGCTACCATGGTTGTACCATATGTGACAAACCAATATACTACCCCAAAGTTATGATGTGCCTTTTCTACCTTTTCTTAGAGAGTGTAACCTTTTGGGTATCCATGTGCTATTGACGTTAAATGAAACCCCGATAGTGGAGTGTGTGAATCAAGCTTTAGCGAAGGTGCAGTGATTGCAGTCCAGTAATCACCACTGACAGGCGCGCACGTCTGGTTTAGCAGCATTCTGCGTTCTCCCCATATATCACAATATTGTGATCTCTGTTCTGGTTATGACATTTTACCGCAGTAAAAAAAGAAAGAAAGTTAAAAGGAAAAGGAAATAACAGTGAAATAAAGAAAAGAGATGAGAAGGCGTACGCCATCACCATATAGCTGCATATCAGGACAAGAAAAAAAAGAAAAAACATTACCCTGTAGGTAATCACGCAGAGCTGCCAAACTGGATGAGCGTGCCTATCAGTGATCATGACAGGACGGGCGCTATTATTTTGACCAAGTGCACCACTGTTCATGTTTCATTTGGCACCAATAGTGTCATCGTAACGTTGAAGCACCTGAGAACTTACGTTCATGTAAAGTTGACATGTTTTCTCCGTAGTAAGAACACCGAGCATCGGATACAAGACGATGGGGATGAGTGACGTGGCTCCCAAAGGTATGGGCTCCACAATCCAATAGAGGCCCACGATGCTGACGACATATGCACAACGAGCTTTCTGCAAAACAAACGGTAACCACCCGCTGAGTTCACACTGCGTATCGCTCAGAATAGCAGTCACGACTGGCACTACCCCAGTACCAAAACGTGGAAAATTCGAAGCTCTGCCGTAAAGTCTCAACATTGATGAATTATTGGGCACAAGATAATTCACACAGTAGTGGCTCAGGCAGCACAAGCATCAAGATCACTGGAGTGTGAATGCGCAGTGCGGCATACTCGGGGATAAGTTCATCTGACCTCACTTTTTTGAGGACAACCTTGTCTGCAGTCTTTCCCTGAATGGCCGGGCATCCTAAGATCTGGTTAAACAGAATGAAGTGGATAAGAATGTTCGCATTTATTGGCTTTCACAAGTTTTTACACATGACAAAACTTAATACCCTTGTCAAAACTTCTCTTTTTGTTTATATGTGTTTTCTTATTCATTATTTTGTTAATTTTATATCAGGCATGCAAGCACGGAAAGTTATTGACTCGAATTCATAACGCTTGCCTCGTCTCCTTTTCGCCCAACGCTCAGCAATAGTAGAAGTTAGATTGCACTCAGTTATCTCGCTCGGTCGGGGTGCATGCCAACTATGGGAAAAATAAAGACAGCAGAGATAGAAAGCCGCAATGGGCTACGCTGAACAAGTCAACCATGCATTTGTCGAAGATGGCCTAATCGGGTGACAAGTGGTTTTCGCGGATCTGCGATGTGCTAACCCAGTGATTTCTAGTTCCACAAAACTTTCTCGGTTTTTCCTAAAAGCAATGGGTGAGCACAAGTATTTCGACCCATTCTTTGAGCAGATATTGATTTTGCATGGGTACGTGAGTAAACCCAGTTCTCTTCAAGTCTGACTGGACTGACAGAAGTGGGGTGTCAGTTGTTTAATTGGTGAAGATGGCAGCCAAGCTCCTGTCGAGAAAAATGCACAGTATTGAAAGGCTTGAGTTCGAGTTGTCTTGGCTACATAGTTTTAGCTTCTCTTACTTTTGGCGTGTTGCTCAAATGATGTCAAGTAAAACTTGGCTGCTCCTGCTCATAAAAGTCCGGTAGCCGCTCTTTGAGGATTTGTGAGTCTTTCGTTCTAATACTGTCGCTGAAATATACGTGATGAACTGATTTCTTGCAAATATTATTACATAGAATGTCGGTGAGGCAACGGCGGCTGCGGCGGCTGCATTTTCGATGGAGGCGAAAATGCTGTAGGCCCGTGTGCTCAGACTTGGGCGCACGTTAAAGAACTCCGAGTGGTCAAAATTTCCGGAGTCTTTCACTACACCGTCTCTTATAATCACACGGTTGTTTTGGGACGTTACGTCTCACTTATCATTTGTTGTCAGTGAGACCAACGCTTTGACAAGTTAACTCTCCTTCGTCACGGCAACGCCGTTGCCCTGACAAAGACAACTCAACTTCCCGAAACACGGTTTCCAGCAATTCTCTTTCTGGAAAAACTACTGGTCGCTTCAAGCCTCTCCATGCCTCTGAACTTCACTCTCGTTCAGTACCCAAGTTCTGTAAGAAAACTATGAGCGCTGTCTTAACGAACGTGATTGACTCAAATACGAAGTGTCCTACTCGCGATTGTTGATTATGTTCGCATTGGTTCGGATATTCTGGGTTCAACGTTTGCTCTTCATGTATATATGTCACTTGTAAGTTGTCAGTTGTAAGTAAGTTGTAAGTAAATTTTTTGGACGACGACGACGAAGTGTCTATTTCATAGAACGCTTGTACCCTTGTCTCAAATTTTCTATTTGTTTTTCCGCAAATTCTGCGAGTTGCTTATCCGTCCTTGCGAGAATAGATGAAGAAGCCTCTCAGGATTTTCGAGGTGGACAACCGCTACGTCTGGCAGCGGCTAGGAAACGTGGGACCACCTCAAGTGGCACAGCAAGCGAGGCAACGCAGCTCTATTCTGACGGTTTCGAGTCATCGGATGACGACTACACAGTCGTTATGAGCCGCAATGCAAAAAGAAGACTGCGACGAACATCGTCGACGACGAGTATATCCACCGTGCAGGCTACCGCGCAGCTTTGGCCACACACTATACTCTTCATGGCAGTGGACCCTTCAGCCAACCTACGGCGGCTTAACAGGCAAGTCCTCTCTGCATACCTCGAAGGACTCGCTTCAAATGAAATTAAAGACGTCAGGATCAACTCACGGAAGAATATTCTGGCCGTTGATGTTCTACACCGTAGTGCGCTGCAAAGCCTACAAAACATCTCGGAAATCGACAGAGTCACAGTTAAATCAGTGATCCCCACTGACTGTAAGGGCAGTGTTGGCGTCATTTATGACGTGGACATTTCCATTCCCGCTGACGATTTCCCAATCTTGATAAAGCCAACTACAGACGACATCCTCATCAAGCACATCACAAGGCTTGGTCAGTCACGATGCCTGAAGATTGTTTTTGAGAGAGACAGTCTTCCCCCACACGTCAAAGTTGGCCACGTTCGCCATCAGGTCCGTCCATACATACCGAAGCCCCTACAATGCTTCAGATGCTTCAAGATGGGACATGTCAAAGGAGTATGTACCAGCAATGTCGTGTGCCCGCGGTGTGCCGAACCTCATTCAGAAGACACCTGCCACGCAACTGCGTTCAAATACTCCAATTGCCACGGTGCTCATAAAGCGTTGTCTAAAGATTGCCCACGAGTGAGAAATGTACGAGCGGTGCTGAAACGCATGGTGCGCGACAATTCAACGCACAGGGAAGCCGCTGCTACTGTCAGGTGACGTCGGCGTCACCACAGATCATCACGCAACGTGGCATCTGCCGATAGAGACCCGTCATCTCAAGCAAGAAGAACTGGCCCCCCATCGTCAAGCTCTGCGAAGACGGATACACCGAAAACAGAATCAGGGTCAAGACTCCCACCTCGTGAAGAGTGGCTATCACTTCCACGAACACAGCCTGTTTCAGAGGTGCATCGATCCCCGCCAACCTCGATGCCATCACGAGCCACTGATGAAAAGACAACTGAGGATCGCCAGGTCATCAACATGTTGCAGACCCTTATGAGCGCAATTCGCATGCTTCTAAGCAACATAAACACCCCATCAGCGCAGAGCGCACTCCAAGTGCTGGACACTTTGAGTCCGGTGCTTGCAGCTCTAAGGTAAAACGATGGCCCGCAACATGTTATCCTTTCGCGAGGAGGTCAAGAACGCATCTGTACTGCAGTGGAATGCCAGAGGACTTAGGGCGCGTATGTCCGAGTTCCGGCAATATGTATTCACGAACCAGTTCTCCATAATTGTGATTTGTCAACCGAACCTGTCAGCCCAGATGAGACTGTCTGGATATGAGTGCTTTATGTCTTCTACCCACGGAGAGCGCAGCAAGGTCGTTGTGTTCATACGGCGCGACTTAGCTTATGTTCATCATCCTGTACCCCCTAAAGAAGAAAACCAGTACGTTTGCCTAACAGTAAAAAACAAGAAGACCACATTCACCATCATCGGAGCCTACTTACATCCATCAAGTCGTCTAGACCGAGAGCGCTTACGTGGAATTTTGAATTCGACTCTCCAGCCATGGGTGATAACTGGTGACTTCAATGCCCACCACTACTTATGGGGAAGCTCCAGGGTCAACACTAGAGGTAGACAGTTAGTGCCTTTCGCTTCTGAATGTGAACTTATCCTCGTGAATGACGGCAGCCCTACTTATCTGAGCGGATAAGCCTATAGCAGTTGCCTGGACCTCACTTTCGTCTCACGCTCGTTCACACGCAGAGTGCACTGGTTTTCGGATTTGGAAACAAGGGGTAGTGACCACATCCCAACATACCTGAAGATTGAGGGCTTTCCAAGTCTCAAGTCCTCCAGAGCCGTCCAGTGCACCGATTGGCAAAAATACAAGTTAATCATGGAAGACTATGTTGGCGCCTCACTTTTCAACCTAGAGGACGCAATAAAGAGTGCCCTACAGTTAACGACGCGTTTGCTTCCGGTGAGCTCATCTCGCACTGATATGGACATTGATCTTGAGAAACTCCGAGCGATTCGTCGTCGTCCAGAACGACGTTATAGACGCACGAGGTCACTTGATGATCTGAGAGTGGCCAGACGCACACAAAAGAAAATACAGCGTCACATGGACAAGTTGGACAAGCAACGATGGGTATCTTTTGTGAGTCTTTGGATCCCAGAAAGCCTCTGTCACTAATCTGGAGAACTGTCCGGGGTCTTCGTACAACCATTACTCAGCGCTACCAATTAAAATCTCTGGCACTTCCCTTACGCTGTGAAGAGATTGATGTCGCAGATTTCTTCTGTCGAAGGATTGCCTGCGGCTCAAATTCAACTGGGACAAAGACGCCCGACTTTTCTGTATCTTTACGTGATCCCCGAATGAAGATTTCGTTTTCAATGGACGAACTAAAGGCTGCGCTTTGTGTAGACGTTCTTCTGCGCCAGGACCTGACAGCATCACTTACCGCGCTCTGTCTCACCTAGGAGATCAAGCTCGGCAGGCACTCTTGCAGCTGTACAACGACTCCTGGCAATCTGCCATGGTTCCACAGGAATGGAAGTCAAGTCAAAGGAATGGAAGTCAAAGGGGCCTACGACAATGTCACCCACGAAGCCATTCTCAGCGCACTAGAAGGAGTAGGACTCGGTGGCAGGATATATATACATGGGTTCAGAGCTACCTACAGATTAGATCATTTCACGTGCAGACAGAGAATGGCCCGACACCCGAGTATTACTGCAGCCGAGAAGTCCCGCAAGGCGGAGTGCTAAGCCCGACGCTGTTCAACCAAACACTCACTGAACTAGTTGGCAAGCAACCAAGCAGTGTACGACTTTCCATTTATGCTGATGACATCTGTGTGTGGACATCAGGTGTGACTCGACTTCAACTTCGCGCTCGACTTCAGAAGGCAGCATCAGTGACATCGTACCACTTACGCAAACAAGGGCTTGAAATCATAAGTGAGAAGTGTGCAGTCGTGGCCTTCACCGGAAAACCAATGTCTGCTTAC